CGTCGACAAACGAGACGCGATGACGCGTGGAGGGCAGCTTGGAGACCACGACGGGATTCGAATAGCCGAGGCACTGGAGGGTAAGCTCTTCGAGGCCCGGGAACGTTGGCAGCAGGTTGAGCATCGCAGGAAGGTCGTTGTAAAAGCCCTCGACGCGCAGCGACCGAAGTGGTGCAGCGTCGAAGTGTGTCGGAAGCGCAAAGGCCGCAAGCGTGTCCGACGGATGGTGGCACGAGATGCGCAAGCTTGAGAGGCGCGTGAACGCTGGCGCAACAGCGACGAATGGCGCAACGAGCCCGGACACGAGAAAGATCAAATGCAGGCTGGAGAGCTTGGTCGGCGTCCGCAGCGCCTCGAAGAAGGTCGCGTCGCTCGCACGGATGCACGTATAGGCAAAGTGCTGTGCGTGGCCAGACCCGAGCCATCGCGCCAGAGCTGGAGCATACTCTGCCTCGCGCCCCGAGCTATTGAGAGTGAGCGACGAGACGCGATGCACAGGCGTCGTGACAGCGTCCAGCTCTACGACGGCGTCGGTCGCAGAAATGATGGTTACGCTCGTGAGGTTCGTGCAGAGGCGCAGGAGGTCGCCCATTGGCAGGACACTTGCGCAGCTAATGCTCGTGTACGTAGTGATCTTGTTGTGCCAGAGGAAAAGCCGCGGGAGCAGGTTGGGTCGATCAAATCTGGGGGTGACACTGCGAGCGGCAACCGCGGTAAAGGCTTGCATCGCGTGCAGGGCAAGCGCAGCGCCAGTGGCCGTGAGATCTTGCAATTGCAGCACAGGCCACAGCTTCTTCATGGCCTGCTCTGGCGTCATGGCCAAGTAAAAGTCAGAGTTAAAACCCTGCACGGCCGCCACGGGGTCACGCAGGAGCCCCTGGAGCGCTGCAAGCGTCGGGGTACGCGCCGAGGTCGGCAGCGCAGCGAGGAAGGCCTTGACGTCCTTGGCTGCCGGCGTGTACTGGACGATGACCATCAAAGCGTCGCCGAGGTTCAGCACCGTCGCCGCGGCCACGGCTTGCCGCTTGCTACTAGTACTGCTCATCTCCTCCTGGCCAGGCCGAATATTCCCAACTGGATCTTCTTCGTACCACTCTCAATAATATCAACGCTGAAACTCAATCGGATCGTATGTTTCTCAAAACACGCGCATTGATCTGCAACATTGGCGAGTCCATGCGGTCGTCACCCGAGTCTATGCTCCATGAGCCCATCCAATTCAGCAACATTTGCTCCAACAAGTGTTCCATGTCGTCGTTTGATTTCTAGAAAAATGAAAAAACGACTCGAACCCAGGATTTAGGCGCACTGATAGGGGTAGGGTCATCCGCCCCGCAAGATCGTTGCTTGGGCGTCTTGATTCACGTACTCTACGGTGCTCTCGTCTCTGCGAAATCGAACGATCGACCAGCAGCCAGTACCAAGAGAGGCTTGAAGATGACGCCTCATCGTCGCACGCGCGCTTCGGTGGCTGTGTTCAGCCCCTCGCGTTTATAGTATGTCCTGGGCAGCGGAAGCAACCCACTTCCGATTTGGTTCCGTCTCGCTCGCTTGCCACGTCATCTTCCTCTTAGCTTGGCTCCTCTGCTTGGTGCTTCCAATTGCCAGCGTGTCGGCCAGCGTCTGCAGGATCTCGAGCACGAAGCGATGCTCTGCAGCAACTGGAAGCTGCCTCTTGACTTGCACAAGAGGTAATGGCGCTATGTCCCGTGACGACGACGACAGCATGGACGCTCTCGCGTGGCTTGACGAGTGGAAGAGCTACGTCTACACGGACGCGGCGAATGAAGAGCCGCATCTGCAACGTCGGTCGACACTGGACCGAGCTCGAGGCCACAACGTGCGTGGTTCAAACGAGCTCTCGTCGCTCGTCGAGGCCGCCACGACACCCGATCCGCTCGATCACGATTGCTTGCAACCAGAGCGACACTGATGCGCTTGCGACATGGGCTCGTCGGCTCGCCTCGGGTCATGTCGCTTTAGTCGGTCTTTCAATTCGACAACATCGAGATCGGCCTGCAAGATCTCCTGAATCGTCACGTGTTCGGCGTGGTGTCAATGTCGCAGGCAAAATGAGAATCTCTCTGAGTGCAAGTACTCCTGATGGAGCGCGCAATTGTCATGACGACCTCGACGGCCGCTGCGTCAGCGTGAGTATCACAGACGTCGACGACCTCGAGCTCGTGCAGAGGCGCATTCCGCCATCAACTGCCACCGGTTCTCTGCGTTCACTGTGTCGGTCGCCTTGACGTCGTGCAGTGGCGTCTCGATCCCACTACCGCCGCCAATCCAACGCAAGGTTCTCGAAACGGGCCTCTTGGGATGGCCCCGGTCTCGACGCCAACGATTTAGCTAACTTGGTATCTCCCATTCATTCGTTGATCGGACGAGTGACGGCGATAGCTCGTTGCATTCGTGTTATGCTGTGTCTTGCTCCTGGGCTTTCATACGTGGTCTCACCAACACCCAGAGAGCCTTCGTGGCCGCAGTCACCGCGTCGTACTCGAGAGCCCTGGTTCAAGCAGCCGACGGCCGACGACAAAGCGCCCAACGAACGCAGTTGGTTGAGATGGTGGCTATCCAATCATAGTCTTAAAGTGCGAAAAATCTGATATTGCAAAGTGAAAATTGAGAAAATACACGATGGCGTTTCCGCTGTTGAGATTGAGTTTGAGGGAGGATCTATCATCAGACCAGAAAGCAATCAAACAGACAATGAGCAACCGCAGCAGCCAGCGTCGGGCCGTGGCCACGCCGCCGGCCTTGGAACAGGACCATATCCTCATTGCCCTCATCCAGTGCATGGCGACGCCCTCGGACGTCAAGGCCTTCCTAGAGGCACTCCCAGCCTCGGCGCGGAGTGCACCGCTGGCCGCGCTTCACGAGCTACTGCAAGCCCCGCAGCGCGCTGTGCGGGATCGTCAAGCGACCGAGCAGCAAGCCATGGACTATATTTGGCCTCTGCTGCATCTCATGGAACTCACGCCCGCTGCGAAGCGTCTTGCACTCGCTGCAAAGGCGGTCTTTCCCGCGGTCTACACGAACAACTACAACCCGCCCGAGGACATGGACGCCGTCGCGTGGCTCGACGCGTGGAAGGGCACAGTCACGCACTACGACCACTTCGATTGTCGCGATGATCAAGAATTGACGCGTCTCTGCAACGTCCTGCGCCAATGTACCAGCCTCAAGGTCGTCAACGTGCGTGATTGCAACGATGACGCAGCGGTCCTCGAGGCCGTCATGGCAACCGCGCGATCCATCGTGGTTACTTGCTCACAGAGACGTGCAGCTTTGCGTGCGACACTGGCACGATGGCTCGCGTCAGGGCACGCGGAGCACTTGTGGTTCCAGGCGATCACTCTCTCCGATGACGTCGGTGATCACGACGATGAGTCTGTGAACGAGTGGCTGGCTCAGCTGCTCGCGCTGCCTACCACGCTCTCGAGCCTTAAACTTTGTCTCCACGCCGACGGTACCCTTGGCGCGCTCGTCGCTGTCGCGCGTTCGCTTCCGCAACTCGTGAGCTTGCGCATCGAGCATCATGCAGGCTCGGAGACGGCTACAGTGCTGCACCTGCTGCATCAGCTCAACACGACGCAGCTTCGGTCGCTCGACCTCGACGGCAGCTTTGAATGCAGTGTCGATGCTCTCTTGGGTACGCTTGCGTCGCTCACGGCGCTGGAAAAGCTCAGCATCACGAGAGCTCGCATCTTGAGACCGGCGTTCAAAACCGGAATCGCATTGACGCTTCGGCGTGTCAAGCTCACCCGAGTAATATTCTCGCTAGCTTCGTGGCGAGTCTTCTTCGCGCACGTGGCCCACCTCGAAGAGTTTACATGGTATGGGTTGCCGTGGATCTCTCCTCCGATCCAGACCATTGCGCCATCGTTGCGCAAGTGGATCCAAGGTGGCGCTCGAAAGATTACGATTGACGATTGCTTTATTGGCGACGAGGGCGCGTTCCATCTCGCGGAGGTTTTGCCTCGTACAACGAGCTCTGTCGGCGCCATCGTCGACATCAACTGCCACAAGTTGTCGGCGCGTAGCTACGTCGCATTGGGCGTCGCCCTCGCGTCGTGCAGTGGCATCTCCATCGCGCTGCCCCCGCCGATCGAAAGCAAGATGGTCGAGGCGCAGACAGCACTGCGCTACATCAAGCACCGCTACGACAGCGTCTACGGTCGCCATCGTCTCGTGCTCGAGAGCCATACGATGCCAGCGATCTAGCTTCGTTTACGTAACTTTTATAATTGAGTTGATTGGTCCCGTACGAGTTATGCTCAGTTGAACGCTAGTAGCTCGTTGCAATCGTGTCTTGCTGTGGCTTATAGCAGCATTAGCCTACTTGATCGCACATCATGGACTGCAGCTGTTGTTAAAAGTCTCTCGAGTACCAGGAATTGAAGCGCCGTTGGCGCAACGGTTGCGCCAACGGAGCTGTCGTGGTTGCGGCAACCACGACAGCTCTCGTTGGGTTCCAGGATTTAAGACGTTCTACATTCCACTTGTCCTGCGTACTCCTCTGTCCAATTCGTTGCAGCTTTGGTGGCTAGATACATTTTGCCGTGGCTTATTCCATGTTTTCTAGCTAGTCTTGCGTCGTGAGCGCAGCGATGTCGTCGTCGGCGGCAGACACTTTGAGGCGCTTGTTGGACGACTCGACCGACGCCAAGACCGACTGGCTCGCGAGCGCGCGGAGCTTCTTCTTGTGGCGCTTGCCCTTCACATGCAACGCAACATCCTGGTCACTCAGCAGCTGGAGCCCGCACGCGTCGCAGAAAAACTGCCGGTTCAAGATGTGGCTGTCGTCGTAGACGCGGTCCGGCGCATTGGGGCCCACCGACACGTCCAGCTCGGACGCGCGGGCAGCGTACTTGGCCGTGTACTCGTCCAAGTACTCGCCGAGGCCAAAGAGTGCAAACATTTCACGGTTCGACTTGGTCGCTGCAATGTCGGGGACCTAAGTATCAGTGTATCAACTGGATCGTTTCAAGCGGTTTGGTACCGTGACGTGGTCGTATGGCAGCACGACCGACGGCGTCTCGAGGTGGTTGACCTTGGACGGGAGCATGCGGCTAATCGAGTACTTTGTGTTTTGGAACACATTGTCTGTCTCGGCCGCGACCTTGAGAAACTCGCGAATGTTCTAATTAAAAAAATCAAATCAAATCAATTCCGCGTCTGAAAACTACGAAGCACAGAGTCCATACCTCGGTGTAGGGCAGAAGGCCCTCTTTGCGAAAGCACGACGCATTATGAAGGGCGCCGCGCGCAATGAGGACGCCAGAACAGCCCGTCTCAGCGCGCACGCGGGCAATGTCTTCCTGCGTGTAAATGTCGCCGTTGGCCAGGACGGGCACATTGAGCGCCGACGGAAGCAACGGCAGCGCGTCCCAGTGCGCGTCATCGCAAGGACGTTCGTGGGGTTGCCTCGAGAGAAACGAAATAATAAGACATCCGAGAATGGAAGCCATTGCATCGACGACGAACATACCGGCAGTGGATCGCAATGGCCGCTGCGCCCGCTTGTTCCATGATTTTGGCAAAGTCAATCTTTTCAGGGATTTCAGGGTGGAAACACCAGATTTGAATTCGCACCGTCGCACTGGGACTGTCTTTGATGCGGATCTTGCACGACACGGGGATATTGAGGTTCCGACGCAGGGTTTTGATAATCTACCGCACGAAATTACAATCAAATATGAAAAATCAAATCATTGCGTGAAAATGCGTCGTACGTCCGAAGCGACGTCGGGCTTGCTCATGAGCGCAATGCCCATGCCGCCTTGCACGGAAAAGTGCTTGGGGCAGCCCATGTTGATGTCGATGGACGCCACGTCGTTGGCGCTAATCCAGGACGCTATCGCACCTTCTATCGCTCACGAGTAAGAAGGCGTACACTGTTTCGGCGGCTTTGAGCGCGGTGACGGCGCCCGGCGTCCCGATCTGGAAGACAACGTGGTTCTTCTCTTCGGCGCACGTGCGGAACACAACGCTGTCGCCTTGCGCGCTCACATAGTCGATCGTGCCGAGCACATCTGCCATACGTTCTTAGCGTGAGCATGTAGGAGGAGGCTGCGTGGCTACCGTTGACGACGCGGTGCGTCTGCGCAATCTTCTTGTCGATGATCTCTTCGCCGTAGACGAGGTTGGCGCCATAGCGCAGCGAGAGCAGCCGCAGCGGCAGCGTGCCCTACGCAGCACCTCTCAGATGCAATTAAAGCGTAGGATGATGACGTACGGCGCGGACCATCGGCGCCAAGCACACTGCGTTCTCGTACAGGTTGGTTGTCATGGCTCGGGTGATGTTGCACTTGCGCGGTCTGAGAGCGTTTGGTGGCCGATGATTGGCGGGACCGCCATTGTCGGCTATGTGGCACCGAAGCTGGAAAAAGGAGATGCCTGCTCGCGCCCGAGCGCTTGAAATAGTGTGCGGCGTGCGATCTTGATTGATCGCGCGGCTACGCGAACGATAGCGTCTACAATGTCTTGGTCGTTTAGGACGAACGTTCGTGGCTACAGCGACGGGCGGTGTCTTCTGTCTTGTTATTAGTGGCGTGCTAGGACTATTGTGATCCTTTTGGAGATGCATAGGAATGTAGCCACCGCGACCAACGCCAACTAGTTAAGCTTCAACATTGAGTTGCGGAGCTATCGGAAGTAGATAGTACAACCTGCTCGCTCGGCATCTCGAAGCGCCGCTTTCTCGTCCTTGAATGTGCGAGAGTTGGAACTACTAGCCCTAGCCGCATGCGCCAGTCCCTGGGAAATCATTGCCACGAGACCGTCATCCGTGACGAGGAGACAGGGTCCACGAGGATGATGGTTGTTGCCGAGGGACCATAGAGCATCTAGATGACTCGACACCCGACGTCATCCCCATCGCCTACGGCTCGCACAACCCCGAGCACTGTTCCCCGAAAATGCGAATGAAGCTCGTTCCCCAGGCATCCATTTCTCTACGCAAATTCTTCCAAGCGAATGCACACAGAATGCACTCACCTCAATAACACACCATGTTCCTTCTATCCGACACCATCACCGTTCGCGAGGCCATGGCGGGAACCCTCGCGAAGTCATCTTTACATACACTGTTTCCAACGATATTCACGGAAATAGCGTGATCCGTCGTCTATGAAAACCAAATGGGTTTATACTTGGGGTTTGTAAGCGACGTGCAACCAGGTGGCTTTCGCAGTTTTGTGAGTGTCGGTCGACAGCAAGGTCATTGGACTTGGAGGCGACTACGGACGACGATGGGCGGGAAGAAGATCAACAAGCAGCAGGACAAGCTGGCCAAGGCGAGCGCTTCCTCGAGCGCCCGCGCGGGCCAGCTCCTCTCGGGCGCAGCCTCGTCGGGCTTTATCGGCTTTGGTGCCTTTGCGGCTACGGCCGCGCCGGCGCCAGCGACATTGGCGTCCGCCGAAGATACGGCCTCGGCAGCCTCGACCACCTTCTCGTTCTATGATGGCGCCGACGGCGACTTGGCACTCGCGCTCAAGATGCTCGGGAAGCGGGATGCGCTCACCAAGACCAAGGCGCTCTTAAACTTGAAGGACATGATCGTGCCGAGTCGCAAGCCGCTCGAACTGCGGCCGGCGATCGGTCACTACTGCTACCTCTACGGGAAGCTCATGACCGAGAACGACCGGCGCGTGCGCCAGCTCTCGAACGAAGTGCTTTTGAGCATGCTCGAGAAGATGAAGAAGGCGACGGTCTTCCACAACCACATCGCTCTGCTTTTGCCGTCCTGGTACGTCCTCGCCATGCACGACAACCACGTCGAGACGTCGCGCCTCGCCTTGCGCGCGTTCCAGCTCCTCTTTCCGACGCTTCTCGACCAGCAAGCCGTGCTCTCGACCCACATGGAGCTCCTCACGACGACCATCCGAACGTACCTCGCTGCCAAGGTCGACGATCTCAGCGACCGCGACATGTACAGCGCTGACGAGGCCGAAGAGCGCTACGAACGCATCCTCACGTCGTCGCTCCTAAGTCTCGGGAAGCTCGTCGAGATGATGGCGTCGTCTGTGTCGTCGCACCTCGAGCCCGACGGGCACCTGCACCACTTGCTCACATCACAGGCGCTTTCGCGGCAAACCACCGCGTCCGGCAAGAGCCCGACGTTCTCGCGGGCGTGCGTCCGCCTCGGCGCGTACAAGGCGCTCACGTCGGTCCTCACGCACACGACGTCGATCGCCTTGGAAGCCAAGGTCGTCATTTTTGCGATTCCTCACCAAGCCATTCACGAAATATGCGACACTAGGTGATTCTGAGCACGTTCCAAGAAAAAGTCCCGGGCAACCATGACGCCATGTGGACACTCGTGCTCTCGTTTGTCCAGAAGACCCCGAGTCTTCCGTGGGCGGCGCTCCAGAGCGCGTGTGTTCCCCGCCTTCTCTCGCTGCTCAAGCACGGCTTTTACGGCTCGGGCGCGGGGTCGTATCCGAATGTGCTGCCGCTGCTCGCGTCCATGCCACTGCCCGTCGCCGCCAGCGTCTACCCCCAGCTGCTCTCGGCGCTCTGGAAAGGCCTCGAGACACCGCACGTTGTGCAGATTGAAGGCGACGTCGTCGCGTCGTTTCTCGAGTGTCTCGGCGCCATGGCCACCATCTTCTTGTCGTCGCCGTCGTCAGAGTCAGAGTCTTTTCATGTGGCTTTTGATCCATCGGCGTACGTCCAGACAACGTTTGCGCCAGTGCTTGCGAGCGTCCTCCCGGCCGTGCTCCGGTCGTCAGTCTCGGACCGCGCATTCGCCGCCTTCTCCAAGCACGTCTTTGCGCTCCTCCCGCGCGTGGCGAGCTTCCGCGACGGCCGAAGGACCCTCTTGGCGGCCACGACCGACGACACTGACAAGGACAAGGCCCAATGGCTCCATAAGGTCGTCGACGTCCAAGAGGCCTTTCTGGCGCTCTTCCACAACACGCTGCATGACGCGTGCGTCGAGACCGTCGTGACGCACGTCGCGTCGACCGCGTTCTTGCCCGAGCGGCTGGTGGGCCTTTTGGCGCATGCCCGCGCCACGTACCAAAAGCAAACCGACGGCGTCTTGCTCGCAACGTATTTGCACCCGCTCGTCCGAGCCGTCTACGCTGGTATCCTCGGTAGTATTGACGTTGCGCATCCGCTCTCGCGGCAGTTTCTGCTCCTATCGCAGCTCCTCGATGTGTTTGGCCTCGAGCACGCCACATCAGATCCCGCGACGCAGTATTCCTCGGTGCTCGCACCGGCGTTGCCGCAACTGCAGCCGCCGACGGACTTTTTTAAACTCTTTTGGCACTACGTCCAAGCCCTCCCGAAGCAGCGGTCGGCCATGTGGCAGGATCTCACGCGCCGCATGGACATGATGGACGACCCGCTCTCGGCGGCCATCGCGGTGCGGTCGCTCGCGCTGAAGTCGGCCGATGCGTCGCTGGCCGAGTGGACGATAGGCGTCGCGCCCGCCGCGTCGCTCTGGGGCGTGCTCTGGGACAGCGCGTGGCTTGACCGACACGTGAACGCGCTCTTGATCGACGGCGCGATGCGGCCCTGGACGTCGGCCGAGACGCTCTTCTTGGCGTCGTGCTGGGCCGATGCTGGCGTCCCCGTCGTCTCGAAGAAGACGCTGGACGCGGCGGTCCTCTTCTGCGACAAGTTGCACGCGTCGATGCCGGAGAACGTGCTCTCGCTGCTCGAGTCGCTCCTCCCGCATGTCGAGCGAAGTGAGAAGGCTCTCGACCTCGTCTTGCACGTGGTGCGTGCGATGGACGCGGCGAATCCGACCACGGCCCACAGCGCGCAGTGTCTCTGGAACGAGCGCCTCCGCCCGCGCGTGCGGTCCTTTTGGCCATTCGCGCAAAAGACGTTGCTGCAGACCAAGTGGGCCGCGTCGCTCAACGCCGGGTTTGCGACCGAGGACGCGGCGGCGTGGGCGGCCTTTGCCAGCGCCTACTTGCACCTCGACGACGTGTGCGCGACGACCAAATCCGCGCTGCTTGAGGCGCTCGACGCGTTGCAGACGCCGTCGTACCGGCAGCTCGAGGTGTTTGCCGAGCTCTGCCACGTCGACCACGGCGCGCTGGTCCGCGGCAACGACTGCTTTACGAACGTGGATGCGCTCTTGCAGCTCGTGTACCTCGACGTCGGCTTTGCGTTGACGTGGTTTACGGTCGACAGCACGCACGTGGCGCCGCGCGAGATGCTTGAGAGCAGCGTCTCGAGCAGCTGGCTCGACGCGTACGTGCTCCTTGGCCCGCTCTACGAAGCGCCGGTCGTGCCACTGCTGCTAAAGAAAGCGCTCGCGCTCACCGAGGAGGAGGCGGCGCCGTGGCTCCAAGTCGTGCTGACCACCCACATTGACAACCCTGCGCTGAAGAGCAGCGTCGTGCTCGGCCACGGGAAGGCGCCCGACAGCACGCTCCTCCGGTCGACGCTGGTGCAGCTTCTCGTCGACGCGCTGCCGTCGTCGCAGGTCGCATCGATCGTCACCAAAGACCTCTTGGAGCAGCACCCGTCGCACGCGTCGATCTTGCTTCGCCGGCTCGGCACCTCGACCGACGTCTTGGCCGATGCCATGGCCGCGCTCGACGAATCACCGATCGAGGCGCTGTCGACGCACGGCGCGTCGTTTGTCGCGTTGCTGTCGTCGGCTCCGAACGATGTCGACGTCGACGCGCTGCTGGCGAAATGGACGCGGCTGCTCTCGACCAACAGTCTGCGCCGCCCGCTCGCGATCGACGAGTGGATCGTTTTGTGCCAGGTGGCGACGACGGTCTTGTCGTCGCGCCCGACCGCGGTGCGCCTTGCCATGCAGCTGCTGCAGAGTGCGTTCTCGGCCAAGAACGACATGTCCGACGTCGTGGGCCTCAAGATGCACACGGCATCTGACGCGAGCGCGAAGATCCTCCGCCTCCGGTCGCAGCTGCTCCAGCTCATCTCGGCGGTCGCCAGCACGGGACGGGACCACATGGACCTCGAGCTCGCGCGCCACCACCGCGACGCGGTCCTCGCGACATCGCTGCAGGCGATCGCGGGCGGTCTCGGTACGCGGGCGCGCGTCCAGACGAGCTTCGTGCACTGCAACGACCTCGGCGCGTGCATCGACTTGGTGCATGACGCGATCGCAGCCGACACGGCGGTCGCCAACGGTCTCTTGACACTCGGCGACGTCATCGCGTTCGTGGACCTTCCCGCGGACGCAGTGGCCACGACGATTCTCAGCGTCTTCAACGGCCGCGACGTGCTCTGGACCGCGCTCACCACGTCGGTGTCGCATCCCGTGCTGAAGGGTGCCGTCTACGCGCTGCTGCGCTTGACCAACTTGGCGGTCCTCGCCGATGCCGAGGCGACCGGTGTCAACCTCGAAGCCGACGACGAAGCCGCGACCGAGGCCGCGATCACAGAGCTGCTCATCACGCCCGGTCTCGCGACCGCGCTCCAAACCATCTCGAACTCGCCCGGGAGCGCGACCGAGTCGTTGGCGCAGTTTCTGCTCTGGGACTTGTATCTGCGCATGTTTCCCGAGACGCCCAGTCCGCTGCTCACGTCGGCGCTGGGCGCGTACGTGCGTCCGCAGCTCTCGTCGCTCCTGCTCTCGTGCGGCGACCACGTCAAGTCGATTTCGCTCTCCGAGCGCCATCTCGAGTCGGCCTTTCCGTCGCTGGCGACCGCGCAAATCGACTTTTCCGACCGCTTGTCGCCGCTCGCCGCCGCGCTCTTCTATCGCACCGTGCTCAAACTGCCGACGATGGTCCGGCTCTGGTGGAACGACGAGTGCAGTCGCAGTGCGCGGTCATGGGTCGCAAAATTCTGCGAAGAGGTATCCATCCCTATCTATCGATCCATCGATCGGATACCAAACAACACTGGATAGAACATCTCGCCGCTCTTGCTCCAGGAAGAAATCGCGGCTATCCACGCCTCGTCCGAGAAGGACCTTTGGGACCCCGAGTACGGTCCCTTTGATCTAATGTGTGGTGACGTTGAATCGAATCTGATGCGGCGGTGTGTAGGGAGATGACGGTCCGCGGCAGCAAGGTCTCGCGCGAGATCATCACGTCGTACATCAAGGACGAGTGTTCGTTGGAGATGGTCATTCGCGTGCCGGCGTCGTACCCGCTGCGGTCGGTCGAGGTCGAGTGCACCAAGCGCATCGGTATCTCCGAAGAGCGCTGGCGGCGCTGGGTGCTGCAGATCATCAAGGTCACGTCGTCCCAGGACGGGTCGCTCCTCGATGCCGTCTTGCTCTGGAAGACCAACGTCGACCGTGAGTTTGACGGCGTCGATCCCTGTCCCATTTGTTACTCGATCCTGAACCCCAAGACGATGGGCTTGCCCAACTTGCCGTGCAAGACGTGCAACAACAAGTACCACAACTCGTGCCTCTACAAGTGGTTCAACCAGTCGAGCAAGAACAAGTGCCCGATCTGCCAGCAGCCATTTTGCTAATGTAGCACAGGACAATAAGACAATAAGACAATATACACACGATGCAATTCAAATGATATGGAGAGACTATGAAATGCTGCACCAGCAACTAATGTTGGTGGGCGGCGCTCGCTGGGTGAGCGGGTGCTCGGACGAGCCGCCTACTACCGTGCCATGATGCACATGGGAAGAGAGCGGCTGGCGGCGCGTACCGGCAGGGTCGGCCGACCGCTTGGGCGGCACGACCGAGACGTTGACCGGCGTCGGGTGCGTCGGGAACGAGGGCACCTTGCTGTCGCTTAGCGTCTTGTTGTCCTGGAGCGCGCCGAGGCCCATGCAGATGAGGCGAATGCTGCTGAGGCACTCGGGCTTGGGCACATCTACGCAGCGCGTGAGCTCGCGCGGAGGGCGGCGACCATCGACGCACCGGCGGGCCACGCCGCGAGCAGCTGCGCCTTGACGTCGGCGACGTGCGCGGACCTGGGCGCGCCGAGCGTGACCTTGACGCCGTCCTTGTTGGCGAAGAGGAACTTGAGCTGGATGACGTCGTCCATGCTGGATGCAGACTGCGATGTAGAACGTGCACGGAAGTCACGCCTCAAGTTTTCCGTTTTATTTTTAGTCCCGCGTACGAATAAGTGCTAATTCGTACGTCCACGCACGAATTAGAGAATCGCGCGGCCCGTCTCTTCCGCGCTAGAAACCATGGACACTGGCTGTCGCACGGACCAAGGTCGTCAAAGTCAAGCCAGCGAGCAGGCGTCCATGACGGTCAGCTCTCGCGTCGACATGTACTGTACAAACAAGGCAGGCTCGATGGGTTGAACGGCGCAGCTGCTCCCATTGAGAAGTTGATGATGGGGGCTAGGGATCGCAAAGGGAGGTTCTCGCGTCCGTCAGACCCAGCGATGACAATCAAGGTGCTCTTCTCGTTCTAGGTTAAGACGGTTCAGCGAGAGCTCGTTGGTGGCTCTCTCCCTGGCGAGCGCTGACACGCTTGGGCTGACGCGCTTGGCTTGGTATGCGATTCGTGACGGTGTAGCCATCGAGCCAGCCGGTGGGACCGCCAACCGAAGACGTGCGGCAGGGACATTGCATTGCCAGAGGCCATGGCACCTGCGAATTCGTCCTCGTGAACGACGAATTACCGTTGAAGGATGGATTACGGTAATTGGGTTAAAGCCACCGTGGTTGCCATCTTGGTCAACGTGGCGGTCGACCTATTAGCTGCATCATACAACATGGTGTAGGAGAAAGGCAAGTGGGACAAAGGTACTGCTCTTGAAGCAATGATGTATGCAGCTGGTGTAGTTGCACCAACGACCCCATGCGTCCAGATCCGACGAAGAAGAAGGGCGCCATGCTCTCGCATGTCGATATTATAATATGCTGGAGGTTTCTGGAAAGTATGGAAATAAAGAGGTTGCGTTCTCGAATGCAATTGCATTTCCATCTTGCTTCCGTGGCATCACATTCGAAGCTACAACCATGGACGACGGGCAGATGTACCAGCAGTCGCCGCTTCCGCGAGGACCGCCCTCGGGCACGGACCTCGCGATGGCCTTTGCCAAGAAGGCGTGGGCCGCGCCGTCGGTCCGTCGGCTCACGCTCATGTGGCTCGTCGGCCTCTTCCTCATGCTTCTAGCGCCGGCACCCATCAAGGTCACCGACGAGATGAAGCACACGTACGAAGCCATGGTCGTCGAGGCTGCGCACGTCGAAGGCTACCAAGACGTGTGGAGCGAGGTCTTTATGGCGCAGAGCGACTTGCAGGAGGCCAAGGTGTGGTTCTGGCGCTTCCGCCCCGAGCACCGCCGTGTCGTGAACGAGAAGCAAGGCATCGTCGACAGCGCGCAAGCCAAGCTCGACGTGCTCGACAACGCGCGCGAAGAGAAAATGCGCCAAGCCAAGGCGTACGTTGGTCTCTGGTCGGACTATGGCCTCGACGAAGCGCGCACCAAGTTTTGGGCTGCGTTCGAATCGGGCAAAGTGTTTGCGTCGCGCCGGACGTTCTGGCAGATGCTCTTCACGGTCCTCGATTCGCGCGAAGAGAACGTGTATGGGCTCGTCATCCAGTGGATCTTCGTCTCGATTATCAACTTCACCTTTGGCCTCATCGGCAGCCTCTTCTACTTTACGTTTGCGGTCATCTCGATGGTCTTTACGTACCAGCCCGACCCATTGAGCGCGACAGCGTTCGTTTGCCTCGCGCTCCTCGCTGCCGCGTCCCTCGTTGCCACGTACCTCCTCGGCATCTACGCCATGGCCGCCGGTGCTGTCTACGGCGTCGGCAAGATGGCGGCCAACAGCGCACGTCTCGAGCACGAGCGCCGCAGCCGCCTCCGAGGTGCCCACATGCACGACGACTAGGTGAGATGGACGCTTTAACTCCTACATACATGTCTGCCACAGGATTCCATTTCGGCGATCACGACCACGTGCTTTGACTATGCCAATGCGTGCAGTGGCAAACGTGCTGGACGCTGGAAGCCAAACAAGAGCGTTCCAGTTGCAGGAAGCATGCCATGAACGTGTCAACGCCGTGTTGCAGGTAGCATAGCGCGTTTGGGCTACATCGATAGAGGCGTTCGGTTGGCGTGAGCAGGACGCGGGTTAGCCTCGTTGCCAAGCAAGGATCAGCGACGCAGGGCGGCAAATCGGCCTTGCATGACCGTGTTGCGACGGAAAGGTTCTCGTGTTTGATCATGCTTATAAAATATCGACCCGCCCGTGTCAGCCATGGGTCTTACTCGGCGGCCGTAGCATGGGCTGCCGTCTCGGGCGCGGCCTCTTCGGCCGGCTCGTCCGCCACAACTTCGTCCTTCTTCTTCCAGTAGTCGTCCATGTCGTTGTCGAGCTGCTTCTGGGCGTGCTCGGCGCTCTTGTTCCAGTAGCCGTCCATCTCCTTGTCGAGGTCCTCCGTGGTCTTGGGCTTGGGCTTGCTGCCACGGCCACCGCGGCCACCGCGGCCGCCACGGCCATTGCGCCGGCCCTTGGCGCCGCCATCCTTGCCGCCTTCCTTGGGCTTCGAGTACGGCTCGGCGCCGTCCTTGGGCTTCCGCTGGTTGCGCTGTTGGCGGGGCATCGGATTCTACTTTGACCACAGCCGCGCGCTCGGGCGTTATCCGTCTCCGGATAAAATTTCGAATTATGCGGTCGGCTGGTGCGGTCAGTTCGATATTTTGCAACGTGATGAGGCTCGTTTTGAAGGACTTTTCGTTGCTTGACGTTGAAGTGGGCCACAGTGGCTTCAACCTGCCTTGGTGGATTACCATACATAAAGCATCAACAGACACAACGAAGTTCATAGGTGATACTACAGGACGTTGGTGCGGGGGGACGGTGCAACCGGATTCGGCGTTGACACTGGCGGGTACAGCTTTTACGGCGCTAAATTCGTGGAAGCAACCGAACAGAAACGACATGTTCAAGCAGCCGCAACGGCGTTGGACACGCTTTGCTTTGACTTGACGCCACTTCTAAACCCAGCCATGCAATCTGTTGAAGAGCACCAATAATCCTGATAGAATCGTAATGCTACATGGACATTCAGCGGCTCGATCGAACAAAAGATCACGGATAAACCACCGCGAGACTATTGCTGACCCACCTTGATCAGGATTCTCATATTTACTGTTGAGACGCAACGCTCGACGTTGGAACCTCTTGCGATATTAACCCCGGACTGCGCCCCTTCACTTTTAGGGAATGCTCTTGACCTCACCGCTTGGCTTCCATCCATTCCCTGTGTCTCGATAATGGATTAAGAACCATCGAAACACACCATTCGCAGGAAATTAATGTCGTGTCCTTCCTCCATTCCATGCGTAAATTTCTACAAAACACATATGATTGATCACATTGCCAATTTGCCATGTGGTAGCCACGGCTCGCGTGGCCTAATGGATAAGGCGCTGCCCTCCTAAGGCAGAGACTGCGGGTTCAAGTCCCGCCGTGAGTGTTTTTTTTCGCGTTTTTCGTACTTTTGTTCAATTGATGCTCCGTTTTCAGTACAATAGTGTACACAAATGTCGTCTACCGGTATCTGGCAAGGGTATCGAGACGAAAACGATATAGATATGCAAAAATGGGCGGCTGTTTATCGACTAGGGACCTTCGATGGCGGGCACGTCGAGGCGCAGAAAGACCTTGTCCGTCATCTTGTAGCTCTTCTTCTCGCCATCGTCGTAGACGACAAAGTGTTCGAGTTTGGCCGGGTCGTAGCGCTCGACGCGGCCCGCATACCACTTTTCACGCGCCCACTTGACCTTGATGCGGGCGCCAACCAGCGCAATCGGGTCGTCGTCGCTGTCGTACTGGACGTCGCTCGGCGCTTGGCCCGCGAGGAGCGCCCGCACGCGCGGTACAAACTTGGCCACGGACCGGTCGATCGTCTTGGCGAGCGCAGGGTGTGACAGCGGCACGTCCTTCCACGTACTCGTCGAGTTGGGCTTGACCAGGACCGTCTTGCCCTGTTGCAGCCACCCTTGGGGCCCCGCATGAGCTTCGAGCCACTTTTCCGTCCACGCCCAGCTGCGCTGGTTCTCATACAGCCATGTACGCACCTACGTACGTTAAAGATACCGTGCGTTTTGGGCCGCGTACCGTCGGCGTGCGCTTGGCGATGCGGCACATCATGTCGATCGACGTCTCAGTCGCTTTAAAGTAGCGTTGCTGCGACGCGAGGAGCGCAATGAACTGCGTCATCGCATCGTCCAGCCGGTCGGCCGCGAGGTCGTCGTCGAGCGACAGCAGCACCATGAGCGCGCGAAAGTACGGCTTGAGGTCGTGGTGGTCGTCGCTCTCAATGGCCGCGAGCAGCACGCGTAGCCACGCCGACGACGAGGCCGCCGACCCCGTGCAGAGCCGCCAGAGAATGCGCCGCCACGACAGCGTCTCGTCGTTGAACGAATGCGTCGCGCCCCGACGCTCAAGCAGGTGGTGCATCCACGCACTCGACGTCAGCAGCTCGATGGCTTGGGCGGGAAGCACGGAGTACAGATCGTCCTTGCCGTAGGCGTCCAGGAGCGTTGCGATGAGCGCCAAGACGGAGCTTTCGTGCCGCTCGTTCCCGCCGTGGTCGGCGTCGAGCAGCGCTTGCGGCAGCACGCGCAGCAGCTGGTGCTCCTTGACGAGCTCGTGGCACGCGGCACTGCTCTGTGCTGCGTACGCAAGCAAAAGGTCGACGACGACGGGCGGCGGTGTCGGCGAGGCTCCCGCCAGCACCTTGGCAACAAAGGCCGACGCCAGCGCCGGTGTCGATGCGTGCTGGAGACTCGCAAGTGCGACATGACGGAACGGCGCCGTTATCACGTCATCATCGACGAGGACGTCGGCCAGGAGACTCGGATGGTCGACGCAGGCTTGCAGGAACCAGTCGGCGCCCAAGGGTTCTTGGTCGTACAGCGCAGTGAGCATCGGTGTCCAGACGCCAATCCGGTCGACTTCATGGCACTGCCAGAGCGTGCCAAACACAAACGTTGTCACAAACTGCAGCGCCTCCAGCCGCAGCGACGCCGGTGCAAACACCATCGTGTCGTCAAAGCAGTTGGCCACCAGGTCGTGCGTGAAGCTCTTGCACGCGACGTCGCCAAGGTACTGCTTGCGCCAAAACGACCGGTTCTCGGCCTCGATGCTGGCGTAGATGGCACTGGGGAGCGGCGCCGGCGAAGACACCTGCGCTCGCCGTTGGAGTAGCCGCTTGAGAAACACGACCGCCCGCACAATCGAGGCGAGGCGGCGGACCGGAGCCGGCATGGCCGTCGGCAGCGACGTCGCCTTGCGCGTGTAAAGCAACATAAAGGCGCTCGGTGACCGGCGGCCGTCGTCGTCATGGGCGCGAAGGCCGCCAAAGCACTCGTGTGGCAGCTGCGCCGCGTCAAAAGGCGTGACGAGCGTGTCATTACACTCGACCCACGATGCTGTCGCCTTGGGGTCGCGGAGGTAGCAGTAGTAGTGGCCCGACTGCGCCGTCCCAACATGCACGATCGCACCCGAGCACTCGTAGAGGTAGTACTCGGGGGCGCGCCACGCCATGTCCTCTTCGTTGCGGCGACGGGCTTGACCTTCCTTCGTGTACCTACCCATATAATATGTGTTTTGAGTTTTGAGATTGAAGAGTGGAGAAAGCGGTACCGGCGCATGTCGAGCTCCATCGGGAACTCAAACGCGTCGTGGAGCTTGATTTGCTGCATGGTCTCAAAATCAAACTCAAACCGCTTGAGATGAAAGACGAGGACGTTCGGCAGCGTATGGATTGAAATGCGCTTGTGCGTCTCGAGCGTCTGCTTGCCGTCGGTCGGCGTGTCCCATGTATAGCTCACCTACATCCATACGATCCACGTTCAAACTCCAAATGCGACCACATCGATGCAGCGTACCATATCGCCATCGACCCACGAGTCCAACGAGGCTTCGAGGTGCGGCCGGTCGCGGACTTGAACCGAGACAAAGTGGAATGGCTCGAGGCGCTCGCTGTACTTGTCGCCTTCGGCCACGAGCTCGTTGCTGAAGAGGCCGCCGAGGGATGCGTGGAGCTGCGCCTCGGCCGTATGGACGCCGTTGATCTCCGACTCGAGCTGCTGCAAAAACGCGTCAAGAACTCGCTCGCGTCTTGCTGCAGCTTGACGTTGATGGGCACCCGTGCTCGTGTGGAGCACGCTGAGCAGCGGCGCCGGCGAGACGTACGGCCGCGAGCTCGCATTCAAGTGGGCGAAAAGCGACTGGATCTGGAAGAGCAGCGACTGCGGACGGCTCGCTGGCGTCGAGAAGACGAGCACTTTGAACGCAGGAATGAAAAAGCACGCTTGGACGACCGAGTTGAGATAACACGTGCACCCGAGGTTCTTGAGTCCGACAAAAGGTCCGCGGACCGTCGGCTTGGCCTGCGCAATCTTCTTGTTGGTGGTCTTCTTGGTCTTGACGGGCTTGATCGGGTTGCGCTCAAACGAGTGCTGCGGTCGCATCTTGGCAAGGAGGCCAGCGAGCCCTGCGCTGCTGGCATCGCAAAGCACGGAGAGCAGCTGAAACGCCAGTGCCCGAGCGCCCGCCGACGTACACTTGGCCAACGTCACTTCGGTCGTCGTCGACGGCCGCATATGCGCTTCCGGAAAGAGGCAGCGCAGGTACAGCTCGTCAATGAGGTCCAGTTGCGCCGACACCGCGGCTTGGGCGTCTTTGTGTGGCTTGAGAAGACACAGCAGCGTATGCAGGAGGCCTTCCAAGATGGGCTGCGCCGCCGCGCCGGGGGCGAGCGACTCAAGGCGGCGGGCGAGGCGCAGCGCGGCCGACGCCGTGTCAAAGCCGTCGGGCAAGCCCTTCTGCACGAGATCGCCGTACACGTACAAGAGGTCCTGGTGCACGATCGCTGGAGCGTCGTAGCCCGCAAAGAGGTTGATCGCAAACGATTGGAGCGACGCGTCGACGTCACAGAGGCCACGGAGGCACGCCGCCGCGTCATTTCGAACGCTCGCGGACGGATGCTCGAGCGCACCAAGCACGACGTCGGCTGCGTCCGGGTGCGACACAAAGGCCGGTGCTGCGCTCTTGTGAGCCGCCAGGAGACGATGGAGCAGCGCCACGGCATTGGCAATGAGCCGGTTGCTGACGTCGCTCTCGTCGTCGACCAATGAGGGCACGGGATACTGCACCGTCACTTGCTTGGCGCCGACGCGTGTCGACGCCGGCTGCGTCAGCACGTGCTTGGTCACCGACACAATCTTGTGCACAAGTGCTTGCCAGCGATCGTCGCGGTCGATTGGCGCCCACTCCAGTTTCTCGTGCAGACTGACGCAGAGCCACTTGAAGAGGCTGCGCCAGCACTGCGCGTCCAGCGTTTGGGTGACGGCGGCGGCGTCCCCGCAAGAATCAGCTCGCACACATGCTCCGGTCCGCGCAAGCCCACAAAGCGGCGCATCCACTCGAGCTGGCTCTGGTACGGCTGGAGCACTTGGAGGTGGTAGAGCAGCAGCGCGCTTTGACCCGAAAGCACGCCGCTCCAGTCGTCGACGTGCAGCAAATGCACCTGTTCCAAGAGCGATGTCTGGACAGGCAGCAGCGCGAGTAGCCGCCACGCGGCCTCGGCCAGACGCGGGTGCGACAAGAACGATAGCAGCGTGCTGCGCACGTTGGCGCCGAGCCACGTCTGAACCGTCGCCCAGTCGCTCGCCGCGTCCTGCGTCGTCCACTGCAGTGGGTTGGACTTGATATGGCCGATCGTGTCGGTCTCGGGCTTCTTGAGCAAGATCACCTCGACGTACGAGCGCTGCGTCATCGAGTTGAAGACGTTCGTGGCCGCCAGCGTCATGTGGTTGTGGCTACGCACGCTAAGCCGCGTCTTGGTGTCGGTCAAGAGCCGAATGCCCTCGGCAAAGTGGCCAACATCCGCCGCGATGCGATCGCGCAGCTCGCCGACGAGGCAGCTTTTGGGCACGTTGTAGTGCAAGGGCGGCGACGTGCGGCCGTCTTGCGACTTGATGTACACGACGAGCGGCTCGAGCGACGGCACTTTGGCCGCCGCGGCTTGCAGCGGCCGCGCATAATGCAGAAACGTGCTCAGCAACGTGAGCGCGCGCGACGTTTCCATGGACGTTCCGACGTCGAGCGACGCCGTTGCGTGCTGGGCCAAGAAGAGCCACACATCCAGTCGCACGAGGCGCTTGACGCTCAGGTGCAGGAGAAGGTACACGATGTAGTCGCGGGCCGCTTCGTTCACGTCGCTGCGCAAGGCGAGGTCGTACAGCCGTCCAAAGCCGTTTAGACGGTCCACTGGCGCGTCGACGAGAAAGGCGCGCGGCGCGTGGGCGTCCGTGAGCCGCTGCGCGTGGTGGTTGAGGTACCGGAAGAGCCGTTCAAAGCACTCCAACTCGATCGATGTCGTCATCGCTGCGTCGACGCACACCATGTCCTCGTAGATGCGCTCGAGGACGTCGATAGTGAACGCGCCATTGCTGAGAAAGCCCATCGGCAGCACCGCGCGGCCCTTCATCGCCATCGCGTCGAGGCAGTTTGGCAGCACGGTGCAGAGCCACGTAAAAAAAGTACTTCGGTCGACCACCGCCGCCTGAATCCGCACCAGTTGGTCGTACGATAGCCCGAGACCCGAGTGAGTGAGCACAAAGGCAAGGCACGCCAGCGACTCGGTCGGGTACGAGGCCACCAAGTCGAGCAGAAGCGACACGAGCTGAAACGACGTCTCGAAGCGCTGGAGGACGCTGTCGAACGGGTGGATCTTCATCGCATTCTTGAGCGACGAGAGGATGACCGCCGACGTGACGTTCTGCAACGCGCTCTCGTCCGGCGGCGCGCCACGCACGATAGCTTCGAGCAGCGTCAAGTGCGTCGGAACGTCGCGGCCTTGGCGCACGGCGTCCACGCTGCGGGCGACGTACTCGGCCAGCGTGTTGCGGCGGCGCGTCACCGACTCGATCGCGTCCATGTCATGCAGCAGCGTCGTTAGAGGCGAGAGGACCTCCCGTGGGTTGGCCAGCATCGCGTGCCAGAGCAAATCCACGCCCTTGGCCGCGATGGTATCCAGCAGGATTCGGTCGTCGTCGCCAATCTGCGCCTGGTGGGCCTTGCCGTTCGCGAGCCGCGTGATGCGCGTGAGGAAGTGGATCGTGAGCGCATCGTAGGTGGCCACGTCGGTCCAGAGCTCGGCGACGGCGGCAATGAGCGAGACGACCATCGAGGACGCGAGCGTGAGGAGCATCTCAAAGACCGTCTTGCGCCGAAGCGACTGCTGCGGCTTGATCGCGTGCGCCCAGAGCAAGTGCAAATGGTGCCGCGTGAGCTTTTCGTGCTGCGCCACGAGCAGCAAGAGCGGCCCCGTGCGCTTCCAGACCTCAATGTGCGCGTCCCGCAAGCCGACACGGGCCAGCGTCGGCGCGTCACCCAGCACGAGATCCAGCACGTTGGCGTCCTCGACCCATTGGATAAAGCTCTCGGTGCGGAGCCAGCGCGCCGATACGCTGGGCGGCGGCATTGTCGACGTGCTCGGCATCGATGATGACGTGATCGAGGCCGACGACGTCCGCAGCATGGCGCCAATGGTGCCAAACGACCCGATGCGCTTCTTCGCCAGTGGCGTCGCCGACGCCCGGGACACGTGCTGCGCGAGGAAGGCGTCGTGGCGCTGGGCCTTCTCCATCCAAACCAGCACGCGCGTGAGACCCGCGAGCTGCTGACCCAAGTACGGACAGCAGAGGTACGCTTTCGCGAGTCCGAGGTGCGCGAGTTCCAAGTGCTCGAGCACGTCGACAGTGTGCAAGAGCGCGTGGTCGCCAAAGAGCGTATCGAGCTTGTCTAGAATCGCATCGAGAAGGCCCGAGTCGTCCTTGACGAGCTCCATGTCGACGGTCGCGAGGCGTCCGAGGACGGCATGCAAGAGCGTCACGAGCTGCTCTTCGTCGGCCGTTGTCGGTGTCAAGATGGGCTTGGCGTGCAGAAAAAGCTCAATTCCATCAACAGCAACACCAACGACGATGAGCATGCGACGACGACCACAAGAAATCGGACATGTCAACTTCCGAGAGCGGAATCGAAGCGTCTTTCACACGCTGCACGATCGCACGGTACCCACCGACTTGAAAGAAATACTCGACCGTCTCCACAAAGTACATGGAGCGGCAGGGCGCGCTGCGGAAGGCGCCGCTGGCGACGTGGTCCAGGTACGTCACATGCTCGAGGTCCGACGCCGCCTCCCACCCGATCGCGTGCGTGTCGGGGAGGTAGTAGCCGTTGCAGCCGTCAAAGCCGTTGAGTAAGAGCTTGGCGACGGCCATGAAGAGCGACGACGACACTTGGTCGTCGCTTCCCGGCAGCGTCTCGGCGCTCAAGACAAACGACGCCCAGTACTTGAGCGTGTGCTGGAAGAAGGACTGGAGACCGTTCGCGACGTCGAGCTCCCGGCACGGCGCCGCCAGCACGGCCTCGAGGAACGGAACCAGCGCGTCCGCAAAAAACGATCGTGTCATGTCGAAAAGCACGCGTCCAGCGCGGTCTGCATGGTCGCAATGTCGGACCGTCCGACGTGGCGCCGCGGCAGGACGCGCAGAAGCGGGTACGACGGCGACGCGTGCAAGTCTGTGTGCGTCCCGATGGGCGCCGTCCGACTGCGCACGTGGGCGCTCTGCACCACCAACTCCTTGAACGGCGTCTTGTACGCTGGCAAGTGCACCAGCCACGCGTCATGTGGCACGACCTGCGCGCTCGCCGCCGTTGGCAGTGTCGTGTTGGTGTTGCCGCGCACTTGGCCAATGTGCCACTTGTTGGTGACGGGATCGAGAACGTCGACCCAGAGACCGGTGCCGAGCTGGGTTCGTCGGACGATCGTCGGCTCGCGCGCCTCCTCTTCGACGCGTTCGATCTCGTCTTGCGTTGCACGGCGAAAGCAAATGATACCGAGGTCTGCATGCGTCGCGCCAACGGCGCACTCGAACGACGGCGGCACGTCGTCCATCGAGCGCACGATCTTGAGCTCCTGGATCGGCCGCAGCGGGTCCAACGGCCGGTTGTCATAGTCGTACGTCGTCTCGGGCGTCGTCTCGCGCGTCGACGTCCATAAGAAGAGCCCGTCGTCGTCACCATCGGCGCGCAGCACGGCCTTTGGCAAGCATGCAAAGCCATCGGGCAAATTCGCGTCTCGCCGGCCGACGCGGAGGTCGCGCAGCGGCGTCGCTGTTACGAGCGTCTTGTACCATAGATACGTCTGCGGCGCGACCTCGGCCGCGACGCCGAGCGGGCTCGTCGCCCGGTGGTACCCGGGCGGCCCCAGCGCCTGCCCGTACGTGATGTCCACGGCCCCGACCCACATCGCAAAGGCAATATAATAAAACGTCGCCGGTCAAACAATTTATGGCGTCGCTGCGATGCCATTGGCTGAAATCGGGGTCCATCCTCCAAGCCGCCAGCGCCCGCCACGCCATCGCCAGCAAGACGAGCTGGCAGCTAGAACGAGGCCCCACGCTCTTCTAGACGGCAACAGTCGCGACCGTCCAAGGCGTCGCCGGACGCACGGCAAGCCTGCTAACGTCGTCCTCGTGCCACATGTTGCGCCAGACGTCTGACGCTCGTTTGCTGTTGCACATGCTGCTCATCCAGCTCGTCAGGTCCGGCGACCTGGCGCCACCTCGCTCTCTTGCTGCCCGACCATATTCGGTGACGTCCATTTCCTGGCAGAGTCACCTCTTTTTCTGGCGCTTGGATAGCGGATGCAAGGTTTGGATAAGTGTTCAAGCGTAAGCTGGCATTGGATTGTTGCTGTGTAGTATCCTGCCAGGGGTACCCCTGATCCTGCATGCCACGCCGACACAGATAGACAGATAGGAGGCGACAACACTGGCACATGGGACTCGCATATTAGGACGCTGCACCAAACCGGCGCGTATACGCAGATGACGACTGCGACGGCTCGAGGTCGGTTTGTCGATGCGCAGTAGGCACGGGTGGCGGCTGGAACGTGAACGCCGACGAGTACGCTGTGCGCTTGTGCTGCGAGACTTGCGCCTCGTTGATCTCTTTGTTGAGCCACGTGATCACTACTCGCATTATCATCATCGCACACCAGGTTAATATGGCATCGCCGACCTTGCTGGTTGGACGCAAGGAGCTGATTGCTCTCTTCGAGTTTGCGCGCGAGCTCGTCGTTCTTTTTCTGGAGCAGCGCGAGCTCGTCGTCTTTCAAATGGAGGTCTTTCTGCAGCGCCTTGACCAGATGTTGGTGCTCGTCCCGCTGCAACTGCTTCTCTTCGACGAGCTAGAAAGAGCTCGCCATGTAGATCGACATATTATGAATGCGCGTACCGTCTCTTGCTGCTTGAGGATTTTGGACTTCATGCGAAGCTTGGCCTTGTACGCGCGGTTCTCGCTTTGGATTTGCTCGATGATTTGGTTTCCCTAATCTCGATTCGAGACATGACGAGGCGGCGTCGGTCTACCTTGTTGATTTCCGAGATGCTGAGCTCCAGCTTTTGCTGCATGCTCGCGTGGTTGGTCTTGTACATCTTGAGCGTCTCCTCAATCTCATGCTAGCACATTGAACAGGTTATGGACAAGGTGTCGTCGATCGATATGGTCTACCTTGTGTGTGTTGGCCGCCGTCAGCAGATCGGTCGTCTTGCTCAGTACGTGCTCCTTGTCAGCGACTTGCTGTTGAAACGCTGCAATCTGCAGCTCGTACTGTGCAATCAATTTGTCCTACGACGAAGATATATGCCTGCGTGTTGGCGACGCGCGCGTTTACCTTCTTGAAGACATCTTGGTCCAGCGCTTTGTTCTGCTGCTGGAGGGCCGAGACGTCGGTGGTCGTAAGCTCTTTCGACTTGGTGAGCTCGGCCACGTGGCCTTCGAGCTGCTCGATCTTGAGCTCGTATTGGTACTTTGTTTTCTGGAGTGCTTGGAGCTCGGCGTCTTGCTCCGCCACCTTGGTATTCAGCTTTGCGAGCTAATGCATTGAATATATGTAAGAAGACGCAAGGACGAGGCTATGGGCGGACGTTGTCAGTATTCGACGCTTGGATCGCCTCAATCTTGGTGGTATACAACCGCTCCGTGTCCTGGAGCGACTTCATCGCGGCTTCCTTCTGCGCCGTCAATTCTTCGGAAAATCGCATCTTCGCCGCTCCCATTTGCTCGGCGTGCAGCTGCGTAACGTGGTCGGCTTGCTTTCGCAGCGCTGCCTCCGATGCGCTTGTGGTCTCGAGGGTTGACGTTGTCGCGGCCAAGTCGCGCTGGTACTGCCGCTTCTCGTTCTACACGCACATGAATGAATCGTTGTCGCAACGCCACGTGGTGTGCGTACCGTGGTCTGGCGAAGGCGCGCGGCAAGGTACAGCTTGATCTCGGCGTCGTCGCCGGGCTTGAAGGCCAGCGAGAGATGCGTGAGGTGCTTGAACGGGTTGGTCTCAACGATGCTAAAGATGCCCTTCTTCGCTTCGTCTTGCGTGTTGAGGACAGCGAGGTAGCTCAGCGGTGATTGGCCTTCGGGCCGAGCGCCATCGAGCTTCTTCTCGTCCAAGCAGCAGGTGAGGAGGTCCATAAAGTTGGTCGCAAACTTGGGAAAGTCCACGAGGAGGCGCTGCTGGTGCTTGAGGTCGTGGAACTCTTCCTCCGAGACGCTCCAGACGTATAGGAAGAAGGACTCGAGCTCGTCGTCGTCGGTGATTTCGATGCGAAGCACGCGCTCCTTCTGGTTGCTATTGAGTGTCTACGCCGATGGTCAGCGACACAACAAAGGGCGCTGGATGCCTACGCGCTGGCCGGCGAGGAGGCGGATCGTCAGAAGCGCGACGCGCTCGTCACGGTCCGGCGTCTGGACTAGGACGCGGACCTTGCCGTCAAAGAGCGGCCTCTCCCGGTCGTACTCGTCCATGGGTGAGGGCGGAAATGCAAGCGTGGTATGACCAGCCCCACGCGTCGATGCCATTGGTTGAAAATCATCCAATGGCATTTGATTTTTAAACTTTAAAATCTGCCGCCAACTCCGGATACCGTGCGTGGATCGTGAGCGTCTGCGCCTCCTTTACGACGCCACCGAACGAATTCCAGCGCAGCCCGTGAGTCGCGTGACCGTCGTCAGTATTGCGCCACAGCATAGAAATCCAATGCAGAGTGAAGCTGGCACCGCCCATGTCATTGCTTTAGCTGCTGCCGCCCGCTGGTCGTATTATCACTTGATGTGATAATTGAGACTGGGAGCGACCTCATGACGCATCGTCGAGACGGTTGGAAAACGCACACATATTGAAATTTGCATTGATCGTGGTCCATCGGTCCTTTTACGCGTCGTCAATGTAGTTGGTGACGTGCTTGACGCCAAGGTCGCGTGCGATCCGCGCATCGTTCTCGTCGGCTTCGATCAGACTGTCGTTCTAGAGAATACAAGCCATGAGATCGCCTCCAACAGACGTCGTGGTCATACGTGGCGCTGCAGGATCTCGCGCTGGACCGAAGTCTCCAATTCGGCTACAATCGCCTCAAAGGTCGGCCGCTCCGTCGGGTTGTCGGCCGTGCAGCGCACAAAGAGGTCCCGGACGCTGTCCAAGCAGTGCGGGCTCAGGCTTGGGCGCAAGTGCTCGTACGCCACCTTGTGCAAGAGCGCGCTCCCGGGCATCTACCACATGGAATTTATACTCAAAAACACACACGAGCCATTAGACAGACCCGCTTCTTGGTGCCCGACTTGACGTCAAAATACGGAATCCTTCGCGTGTCGAGCTCCGACAAGACTAATAAACCCGGTCAGTCGATGATGGACAAATGGTCTATACCAATGCCAAAGCTGTAAACATCCGCCTTTTCCGAGTAGCGCTCGGCGCGAATCATCTCGGGCGGCAGCCACAACGGCGTGCCCGTGACGCTCATCGTGTCATCCATGGCCTTTTCGCGGCTCAAGCCAAAGTCCGAGATCTTGGCGCCAAACGACGAGCTAGCATGTCGTGATGAGTGCGGCGACGCATATGGACCATCAACCTCACGAGGATGTTCATGCTCTTGAGATCACGGTGGATAATCGGCGGGTCCATGCTGTGGAGGTACGCCATGCCACGCGAGATGTCGATCGTCATGCCCCAGAGCGGGTGGTGCCACGACAGCTGGATGAGCGGGTTCTTGAGCACCGAGTAGAGATCACCGCGGTCGAGGAACTCGGTGACAAAGCAGCTACGTATGCACGTGAGCCTCGGACACCATCATGGTCCATGTACGTACATGTTGGAGTACGAGTTCCAGCTGGCGCCAATAAACTACAAGGGCATCCTCATGGCGAGACCGAATGCTGCAACGAAGACGTACCTGGACAATATTCGGATGGCGGAGGTTCATCATGAGCTGGATTTCCTCGGCAAACATGCGCACGTTTTCCGGGTCGATGTTTTGGCGGACCATGCGCTTGACGACGACGGGCGTGCCATGGTACGTGCCCTTGATGACTTCGCCAAACGCGCCCTTCCCAATCACCTTCTGCAGCTTGAGCTCCTTGAAGTTGATGGCCGCCATGCGCAGATGGATCTTGGATTCGAGAATCGACTCGACGACGTCGCGCTCGCCTTCTTTGAATCGCTAAACGGAACGTTCTGCGCCGTGGCCAGCGTCGACGGCTTGGGCGGTGGCAGGTCTTGCCGCGTCGGGCCCGTGCTGCTGACTGGCGCCACGACCGCGTCGTCCTGCGGATTCGACGGTCCGCGCTGCGAGAGCTCGACCCGCGCCGGCGGCGGTCCTTGGCGGGCCGACGTCGTCGTCAAGGTCACGGCCTCTTCGGTGCTATGGCACGCGCCCATCTTATTCTTGCTTGCGGCGACCGATTGCTGCGGACCGAAACCTCTCAGAATGCATACTCATGCGGTCAAAGTATAGAAGACGGTATACAATAGGTACAATCAATTCCAATACAATTAATTATACAGATGAGTGTAATAAAATACCGCGTGGGCATAAAAAACCACAGGTTTACGTGGCGCACGTAATGCGAGATCCAGTTTCGCAGTGAGCAACGCGCAGACGCCCGGGTTGTGTTTAAACGCGTTTTACACAGGCCAACACGACGCTACCACGACACCCGATCGCTTCTGGTCGGGCCCGTCGATGGGAGCAGTTGCGCTTGACAAGGCTGGACACGATCTTCGCGCTCTCAAAATTTGGATTTTGGCGCCGACCAAGATCTGGAATTCGAAACGCCAATCCAGCTCCAAGTGCTGGCTTCATCGTTTGCACTCGGCTCTAAACCGCAGGTGGCCTGCTTGGGCCGCCAGTCCCAGTCCAATGCATCTTCTGGTGATCGCGCATCCGGTCCGATCCGATCGGCATATTCCAAGGTCAGGATCGTCTTGGCTCCTGCTGGCGACTTCAGGAACCGGAGTCGCGGCCATATCTTGTCCATGATGATGATGATGATGAGAATGATGGCGCTGCTACTCTTCTATGTACCCTGCTACCATGGCAACCCCACCTCACGCTCTCCTTGGAGCGATTCAGCAACATCATCACCATCATCATCATGTTTCAACCTGTTGCTGATGTCGGCTTCCAATTAAATACATTTATTCATAATAATCTAATAAATCGACGCGTCCACCGCCGGCGACGCGACGTCGACCGCGTCGTTGTACACGTCGGTCTCGAGAATGTCGAGAATCTCTTCGAAGCGTGGTCGATGGCGCGGGTCGGCGGCTACGCAGCGCCTGTAGAGTCGCTGCAAACTCTCCATAGGTGTTGGCGACAGTGTCGGGCGCAGCTCGTCGTTCAAAATCCGATGCAATAGCGGTCCATCGACCGGCCTCGCGTCGTGGTACGGCGTCGCGCGCGTATCGAGCTCGGCGAGCACAATCCCAAAGCTGTAGACGTCCGTCTTGTGCGTGCAGCGGTCGCCGCGAAGCATCTCGGGGCTCATCCAGACGTACGAGATGTCGCGCGGTCGAATGACACCCACGTCGCGGTCGCGCCGCAGCGCGAACCCCGATATCTTGGCGCAGTAGTCCCCACTAGGCATGTACATGAGTACTATGCACATTTGTACAAGGAGTAGATGTCTACCCGATGCGAATGTTGGTGCTCTTGAGGTTGCGATGCAGCAGCGGCGGCGAGTGGCCGTGCATGTAGGCGAGGCCGCGGGCAGTGCCGATCGCAATCGATAGCAAGTGCGTGTGCCACGAGAGCGCAATGCGCGGGTTCCGTAGCAAGCTGAAGAGGTCGCCGCGGTCCAAGTACTCCATGACAAAGCAGCTACGCACAATGAGTCGTGTGTCGGAAGGTGAAGGCGCGTACGCTTTGAGCGGCGAGGACCAGCTTGCGCCAATGCACTAGTCGTCCGTCATAACAGTAAGAAGGATGCATGTAGGCGACATGCTGTACCTGGACGATGTTGGGGTGGCGAAGACTCACGAGCAAGTGCAGGTCGTCGGCAAAGAGGCGGCGCGTCGCGCGGTCGATCATTGGCGGCATGTACTTGACGAGCACGGGCGTGCCGTGGTACGAGGCGCGCTGAACGTCGCCGTACTTGGTCTTGCCAATCACGGCCGCGAGCTCCAAGCTCTCGAACGGGATCGCGACGAGCGCGTCGTACTTGTCGCTTGTGAGGACCGAGACGAGGATGCTACGCGGGCTGCACGCGTACATCGTGTCGCTGGGCAGTGTCGGGTCGAGGCTCGTGAGCTTGAGCTTCGGGCGCTTGAACGTGCGGGAAAGGCAGCCAGAGACGCCGCGGCGAATACGGTCCGGGGGCGGCTGCGCGGCGTCCGAGGACGGTCCGGCGCCCATGCTCGGTGGGAAGAACGCGTTTGGCACGTCACGCTGTTGGTGCCGGAAGGGTTCGGATAGCGCGCTGAGACAGTGGTCGTTACGCGTGCGGCGCTGCTTCTGCGGCGTGGTATGCACCCCACCAATTGCCCATCCCGGTGATGGTCCACAACATTTGGCGCGTTTTTCATGCCACGTGGCGGCATGCGGCGATTGAACGTGATGTTTAACGCAGTTTCGGGCCAGCACAGCGGCCAGATTCGATCGATGGCCCAAATTTCCCGTAAATCAGACGAGATACTCGTCGCGCAGGTGCAATAGTCATCGTACCGTACCACATACCGAGCCAGCGCGGATCGAACAAAGCGTGGTTTGCCAGAAGCGCTGTCGGCCTTCGAATGGCAAGGGACGTGCTAACTAATGAGGTAAGGCTCGCACTCGGTGCCAGTGATGCTCGGCTCAAGCTGTGTGGCTACGCGACACGAGCGGGAAGCACCCATCGATGGCCATGTCGTGGATGCACAAACACTGGCGTGAGCAAGTTGAACCCACGCGGCTGCTGGGAAAATCACATTTGACCCGACGTTGAAGCCTGTCAAGGAGCAAGCACGCTAACGAGACACGTGCAGTGGTGCCTTTGTTGAACAGCTACACTACACTGCATGGCGTTGGTGCAGCAGACGTCCGAGGCGTACCGACTCGCGGCTGCGAAATGGAGTCCTCATGGCAGCCGTGGTTGGCGCTGGGTGCAACTGCTATCCGAAAGATTGATTGGCAACCATCGATCACTTGCGAAGATGCGCCATTGTTGAAGCAGCACGACGACGCCATCGCGCGCGAAGATGGATCGTCTGCGTGTGGTGCTCGTTCACGGACAGTCAACCTCGATAGAGCCATGTTAAGGAGCTTCTTCCGAGGACCTCCTCGATGCGGCGTGAGTGCCTTGGGGCAGTAAAAGATGCCCGCCGCGCTCTGTTACGCCACGCCTCGTGTCGCGGATTGAGCTCAAGACAAACCATTAACACACGAGCGTGTGCTTAATGGCTCATTACCGGTAGCCGACGACGACACACGAGCAGCGACCACCCCTGCGTCTCTCGTGTACGGTTGATGCCGCATACACGTTAAACGCGTTATACGAGTCAACGTCAACCAAGTGGTTCGCGCGCAACTGTTGGAACTGGATTCGAAGTCATTTAAAGTCGGTGGATTGATTGCATGGTGGCAAAATCAAAGCGCCCTGCCAACAATACGAAAGATCGCCCACTAATACATGCCCATTGCACCTAATTTGACGTCCCAGGTTGCGCGGCCATCGTCCAATCTTCCTCCGTCCCTGTCGCCAGCTACAGCATTCGCCAGCGCTGCCAAAGCGCCAAATATAGGGCGTTGCAGGTGTGGTGCGAAGCTTAGCCGAATGGCCTCGCATTCTCGAGCAGATCTTATTGCGCATAGCGATCTTCCCGCGAGAACGTGGACACGCGATCTTTGGAGGGCCTTACCGGATATAGACCGTCGACTTATCCGGATAACGACCAAGATTCTCGGAACAACGAAAAAAGCCCGACCGGCCGTCCAGATGCAAGGCCTCGACGACGAGTTCCACGAGCCGTTGGTGGACGCGCCGCCCCGCGTGTCACCCGCCAGCGCGCCAACGACCGCTGGGTACGCAGACGCGCCAAAGCAGGTCAACGTACCGTACGGCCCGTCGACGGCGTACACGGTGCCGCAGTACGACCCATCGGACGCCTACGCAGGCATGGAGCATGGCGGTAGCAGCTGGCCGCGCGGCAAGACGACGTCGGATCGCTCGGCGCTTGGCGCGCGCCTGGACGTGTGGGTCAGCGGTATCTACACGGTCGTGGCCGCGCTCACGATCATGCAAGGCTTTGGCATCATGCTGCACTTTAGCCTCTCGGCGAGTTGGTCCTTCTCGCCTCGAACTTGAACTTACGAGCCTCTTGTCTAGTGCTCCTGGGCGCGTACCTCATGGCCTTTGGGATGGGCCTCATCTTGTACGACCTCAAGAGCGTCGTCTACGGCGTGAGCCTCGAGATTTGGTTCCCGTTCCTCGGCAACTACCTCGGGCGGGGCTTTGTGCTCCTCTTCCTCTATGCGCTGAACGCACAGGACTTTCAATTCTTCCAGCTCCCGACATGGATCTCGGTCCTCGAGGCGATTGCCGCGGGCCTTCACTTCGCCATCTTTAGCACAACGCAGCCGCAGTAGACCCCATTTGCGTAGGGCCCCCTACCTCCACACGGAATGTGCGAATATATTTGTGTTGCGAATTGTATGGAAACTGTGGAAAATAAAAAGGGGTCGAAAAAGTTCGGTCGAGGCAGAGGTGCATTTCGCAACGTGTACCATGCTGCAAGACGACGCGCGCCGCTGGCTGGCCTCGCCGCTGGTCGCGCTCCATCTCTGCGCCTCCGTCGAGCACGCCGGCGCTAGCATCCTCCAGATGATGAGCGCGTACGTCGTCTACTCGTGGCTAGCTGCCGCCGACCGCAACGACCCGACAAGCTTTGCAGCGCTGCCCGTCGTCGGCAAGGGCGCGCTCTTGGCCTGCATCGGCCACGTTGCTGCATTCGCCTCGATGCCGGTCTTCATCGCGTTGTATCGGTCGTTCAAGTGGCAGACAATGGCGTACATTGGGCTCAGCGTCGGCCTCACGGCCCTCGCGCTCGCGTGGATGCTCATGAGCATCACCAACGTGCTCTCGGTCATGTTCGTCCTCCGCGCACTCGGCGCCGGCGTGAGCGGCGTCCTTGTCTCGAGCGTATCGGCCGCGCAAGAGTACCACGGTAGCGTCGACGTGCAGTCGCTTCTCCGCCCGCACTTTGGTCGTGTCATGAGTGCACTCTTCATCGGGCTCTGCGCCGTCGTCGACGTGGCGCAGGACCACGCGACGATCCACATCTCGTTCATGTCGCTCATGGCGCTCTTCTGCGTGCTCGTCGTCTTCCTCCTCCGCTTCTTTGTCCGCGCCCAGCGCAAGGCGCTCAAGGACGAAGAGAAAAACAACCTCCTCGTCGACGACGTCGAGCTACCAGTGACGCCGCCTCCGACAGTGCTCGGAGCGCCGCGCCCGCACTTTAACGACATTCGCCGGCTCTGCCCACACCATCTCTACGGCGCGACGGCATCGGGGCACCCGATCTGGATCGTACAAGCCGGGCTCCTCGACGTCCACGCGCTGCAGCAAGCGGGCTTTACCTCGTACTGCCTCAAGGATCACTTTGCGTACATGCTATCGTACCTCAAAACCACGCATCCGCCAGCGTCAACGCTCGTCGTTGTGTTGGACCTCGACGGGCTCAAGCTCATCGAGACGCAAGGCTGGACCATCGACTGGGCCTGCACGATCGTGGCCCACCTCCAGCGCTGCGCCAAGGACGAGACGCTCCACAAGCTCTATGTGGTGAACGTCCCGTTTTGGTTTTCATGGGTCTGGAAGACAATCCGGTCGCACATTGCCGACGCGACGCTGTCGAAAATCACGTTTCTGAAAGCCAAGCCCGGCTTCCGCAAGGTGACGCTCGAGCCGCTGCACCACACGGTCGGCCGCCTCTCGCTGCTCCCAACGATGTACGGCGGCGAGAACCCAATCGCGCTCAGCGAGACGGACGACGAGTTTGCGCTCGATGCACACATCACATCTCTCAACGCGACGCTGGACGAGTCACGCGAGCTCATCTACAGCGATGGCAGCGACGACGAAGACGCCTTTTCGACTGTACGCCGGTCGTCGACGAGGCGCCCGAGAAGACAAGCAGCAGCGATAACGAGACGCCGGTCCTCCGCGTCTTCGTGGCGCCGCCGCCCGACCGCCTCTTCGTACCGCTGCGGACGAGCACGAACCGGCCGCTCCTGGCGATGCTTGGCGCCTACACGGTGCACATGACTCTCCTCGTGGCGTTTGATGCGCTGTATCCGATGTGGGCGCTGCAGCACGCATCCGCGTCATCGCCCTTGACACGTCTCGGTCTCGCAGCACTTGCCACGGGCGTCGCCTCGGGCGTGCACCTCGTCCTGCGGCATGTGCCACTCCCGCCGATCGATCGGCTCTTTGCCCTCCAAGTGGCGGTGTTTGCGATCTTCCCGCTGCTGCTCGTCCTCGACTCGAACGTGCTCTCGTGGCCGATCGTCGTCGGCTTGCTCTTGGCCAAGGCGGTCGTCTCGGACGCCACGACGCGGTTTCTCTGGTGTCGCGTGTGCCAAGCCGCGAGCCCCGACCACAACTCGGAGAGCAGTGAAGACAGCGTGATTATCCACAAGGTCCTCGAGCGCACGCTCGTGTGGCTCTGGCTCGTCGCCAACGCCTGTGGCAATCTCTTGCCGCCGATTCTCGTGTCGGTCTTGCAGCACCTCTGGATGGGCCACGTTCGACTCGCGCTCGCGGCCACGTACTGGGTCGCGGCCGCACTGGTGGGCGTTCTGTATATACGCGTGCGAGGCGTGCCACAGTGGCACCATAGCGTCCTTGACACGGTCGTGTAGGCGTGTGCATTCCTCTAAATTATTGCGTGGCCTCTTCGTGCTTGGCGTCCAAGGTACTAGTCGAAATCCGAGGACACAAGGTTATTCTGGACAGCGAAACACACACAACAAGTGTAGTGACTCCTACTCTTGCACAGTTCTAGCAGCGACGCAAGTGTGCGCAGGCGTGGCCTCGTGTGCGAAGTCGTCTTGCCTGCTGGATCGAGCCAGGTGTTTGGTGCTGTTGGCGCCGAGTTCAAACCCACATCCGGATACGGAAGCGGTATCCGGTTGTTCGCCATTCAAACGCGTCAAAAGATGTCAAAAGGGGCGTCAAAAGGTGTCGAAAGGAGGATTTGGGCCAAGGGCGTGTAATTATTGGCTATTGGCTAATATGAAACTTTGTATTCGCGTTTTAGTTCAAAAAACGCACGGGACGAAGTTCAGGTGGGCGGGCGGCGCCGGCGCATGCAACTAACGACGGACGACGACCTAGGCATGCAGCGCGAGGAACTAGGCGAAGAGCAGAACCCCAACCTGCAGCTCCAGCAGCTCCAGATGCAGCAGCAGCAGCTTCAGCAGCAGCAGATGCAGCTCCACGCGTTCTGGCAGTCGCAGATCCACGAGATCTCGCAGATCGACCCGGAGGTCCAGGACTTCAAGACGCACCAGTTGCCGCTGGCGCGCATCAAGAAGATCATGAAGTCGGATGAAGACGTCCGCGTACGTCATCGAGCCCATCGTCTTGGCATGATCGCTCACGCGGTGTGTAGATGATCAGCGCCGAGGCGCCCGTGCTCTTTGCCAAGGCCTGCGAGATGTTCATCTTGGAGCTGAGCCTGCGGGCATGGATCCACACGGAAGAGAACAAGCGCCGGACGCTGCAGCGCAACGACATTGCCATGGCCATCACCAAGACGGACACGTTTGACTTTCTCATCGACATTGTGCCCCGCGAGGACATCAAGCTCCCGGGCAAGAAGGTACATGCGTTCTACGACCAGAATAGGTGTCTCACACGATCCTGTAGGAAGGGGCGATGGACCCGCAAATGGTGTACCAGCAGCAGCTGCAGCAGCAGCAAGCCGCGATGCTCCACCAGTTTATGCAGTCGCAGGCTGGCGGCAACCCGGCCATGTGGCCGCCGCAGCAGCTTCAGATGATGCAACACTACCAGCAGCAGCTCCAGGGCATGCAGCCCGCGACGGCCGACGGTACCGCAGCGCAGCAAGCGTCGTCGACGCAGCAGGCACAGGCCAACCAAGCTGCGCGCAACGGCGTCGACGTCTAAGCCGGCGTGTGTGTATATTTCTGCATCTTCTTCTACTAGCTAGGTCGTAGCCCGTGTCATTTTTAATACTACAGAGCTTTCCCTCTAGAGCTCGTGCATACAATCGACCTTGGGCTTGGCCGCTTGGATCTTGACGTATTGGTACGTGGCGACGCCACCGAGCGCGAGGGCCATCCCAAACACCGAGACCAGCCGGATCGCGTTGCCAAAGTAGAGGATCGCGCTCAGCACAATCACGACCCGCTTCATCGTGCTCATGATCGAGTACGTGAGCTCTGAGACCTTGCCGAGCAGCTACGCAAAACCATATATCAATTCGCATGCGACGACACGAAGCTGTCGTACCAAGGAGGCGGCAAAACTCGAGATGAACTGGCAAGTACTGCAGCAAAAGATCAAGCCGTAGGGAATCCTACAGAGAAGAACCAAGTCGCCACATCAACTTCCACAAGAGGAACGAACGTCGTCGGAAACATGGTCTTCTCTGCGCTGTTCCAGAGCAGCATCGGCATGTTGACGGCAATGCAGAGCATGCCATTGTAAAAATGGAGCTAGTCCAAAGATGCATCGAAGAAGAGGCCGGGCGAGGAGGAGAGACGCACATTGATGCTGTCGGCGACGATGCCATGGCGGAGCAGGTACTTGGCGTACATGCTCTACAGAGCGTCGTCGTCGTCGTCACATACTCGATCCTCGCGAGATGTACCTGCATGACCCCAAACATGGACGACGAGATGGCGCAGAGAAGACCCATGGTCGCGAATTCCTACGTCCTCGTCGCCATGAGCCCCGATAGATAAGAGGTTCGTGCGTACGTTGATCTGAACTTCGGACATGGACGCCAGCGAGACGCCGACCACAATGGGTAGCAGCGACAGGTAAATGGGCAGCGCATGCGTCGTCCGGTACACGAGGTAAGCGAGGACGACGTTGAAGAGCGGCGTCGACGCCTACGTCGCCTTGGTCTCTGCATCGTACGTCGGTAGTAGTACCTTGCACGTGTGCGTGAGCGCGACAGGCACCTTGGAGTAGCTCCAGTACGTCAAGATCTTGGCTGCGATCGCCATCATGCTGAGTGGCAGCATCGAGAGCACACTATTCGGTAGATGCGATGAGCTCGAGATGCGTCGATCTCGAGACGTACTGGTCCAACTTCATCGGGCGAAGATGCCACATCTTGTAGCGTGACTTTGGCGGGACCGCGAAAATGGCCGCTAGCACAGCAGCATGTCAAGCCAATGGATGGCGAGCTGTCATGGCATACCGTCAAAGCACGTGCCCAGCGCGAGGTGGCACACGGTAAGCGCCTCGGCCGAGAGGCCATGCTCCTTGATCAAGATCTTGTTGATGAACGTCGCGCTCGTCGAAAAGATGTACCATGCCAGCATGTACAGAATGGCCTAGGATGGCCGTCGTCGTCCATCAAGCGTCGTCATCGCCGGCGGCGTACCGTGGACGGGTTGTCCGAGGACCAGCTGGCCGACCGCGGCCGCCCCACGGGCATGACCGGTTCGTACGCATCGATGGCGACGACCTTTGCCGGGCCCGTCGTCTCCTTGGTCGGTGCCATTGGCCAAGATTCCGCAGTGCGGCGGAGTTACTGCTACGACCACCATCTTCGAACTTCGATATGGCTAAAAACACCCCAGTTTGGGGCCCAGCGCAGCATGAATATACGTACACTAAAGAGTACACCCTTTGCAAGGACAGTAGTAATGCTAAATAGCGTGCAAGACGAATGCGCAAGCACATAGTGCATGGGGCAAGCCGCAAAGTCCTCGCGGCAACCGCTCGCTGCCGCCAATATGCGACCACCGATGGACATCGAAGATCCGGATAACCATCCGCACACGTTGAATGACGTGGAGCGCCTTGGTGGACCGGTCCCCCTCGCCGCAACGCCAACCGAGCGCAGACGACTCGAGCGACTGGTCGTAGTAAGCCTTGTCTCTGCCGCATCCTAGATCTATCCAACTCTAACGTTGTATCCAGGTCTTGGCGTATCTCGCCGTGCTGGCTTTTCACATTGTCCGTCAAACTTGTTCACTGGTGTCGCGCCTCAGCGACAACCTCCCCCGAGTCCCAGAGCAGAGCCGTCCACGGATTGAGAGCCAAGCATGTAGCAGCGCGTACTAAAGCTTTTGGGCTAGTTTATTGTTATCCTTGGCGCGGGTTGAATCGTGCTCTTCAATAGATTTGGCGCGAAACGGTTGCTGTGTCCGAAACGAATGCCGCGGATACGCCCGGCGGCCGATGAGCCATCGCCGCCGCCGACAACGTCATCGCTCAGCTGGCGACGCGTGCTCTTAACGCTCCTCTCGTACATCCTCTTCTTCACAGACGTGCCGCGTAGCGGGTACGGGTTCGCGTCCCTCCCAAACACCTACACTCGCCACGCGCCCGACGCGGCGTCGTACTTTGGCCCGTACGCCTACCTCGTCCTCAACGCGACGCGTCAACCCAATGGTTACATCTCTCTACGACGCTATACCCACAAGGCGCTTGCGTAGGCACGGTTGCGGGCGTCGCGTCGTCCGGGCCCACGTCCACGGCGCGTGTGTGGAGCTACAAGTTTGATACGACGTCAACCGGTCTCCGCGGGCTCGTGGCCGCGCACAACATCTCGGGCTGGTACTCGAATCTCTTGCAAGTAGTGCGAAGGCTAAACGAGTCGTGCGGTCAGGGACCCGTGCTTGCTGTACGAGTCGGCGTGTCCTCACTTGACGCTCAGTGTCGCGTCCGTGTGGCGCTTGCTGGAGAGCACCGTCGACGCGCTGGCGCCATCGCCCGCAGGGTGCCGCAGCGTGAGTTCATTTCGTGACAACATTGACGACTATGTTGATTTTGGGCCGCTCGAGCACGTGCACTACCGGTCGACGCGGACGCACACCTTGGAGACGCCGATCGACCTCTGTCACTCGGGCCATCGCCTCCCGTTCTGCAACGCGCCGTGGTCCAACCTCAGCACGTTTGGTGCGCGATTCTCTTCTAGAAAGGGAGCAATCTGGACCAGATTTGCGTAGGTTACAAGAAGGTTTCTGTCATCAGTGCTCACATCCAGGCGCGGATGCAAGCGCGCCGACGCAATATGGATCTCACTTCGCAGCGCATGGACGTTGTCGTGATCGACTCGACCATGGACATCCAGCGCTGGCGAGGCAGTCTCACGCACGTCGACGCGTTCAGCTGGGACGTTGTCTCGCTCCTCCGGGTGCAAAATTGCTCCGAGATCTGGAACGCATCCAGCTGCCGCACCATCGAGCTCGTCGACTTCCGGTACGAAGGCGGTATGCTCGACTCGAACGTCGTCTACTACTACAAGCTCGTGCGATTGCTTCGGATCGTGGCCCAAGTGTACAATATTGTCCGCGTTCTCGCGCTCTTTGGCGGCTGCTACGCGGCGACGCGGCGCCACACGATCTCTGGTTCGCGATGGCTCGCGGCGCTGGGCCTCTTCTTCCGCATTCCTGGCCAAGTGGTCATTTACGGCAGCTGGTTTCCAGTCATCCTCTTCGTCCTCGCGCACGCCTCGGACTCGACGCTGCTCTATCTGTACATTTCCAAGAGCTTTGTGGCGCTGGATGGCACCATTGACACGAGCTTTTCGAATTTGTATGGTCTCATGACGCTCCTCACGTGCCACATGCGCAACGTGTGGGTCCTCAACCTCGTGGCGAAGGGGTATTTCTACCTCCGCCACGCTGGATCGCACGCAAAGAAGGGGTGGTCGCGCCACCTCGTGGGCCTCCGCGGCTACTTGCTGCCGCTCGTGTCGTTCGTCTCTGCCATCTTTGACGTGCGCTGGAACGCGCTGCGCAGCACCGAGATCCTTGCATCGACACCGATGCTTGTGCCGAGCAGTGTCCAAGCCGCCAAGCACATCGGGTCGCTTCCCTGCGATGTGCGCTACAGCGGTCTCTTTACCGATGCGAAGAACTTGGTGATTGCACTGGTTTTTGTCCGAAGCGCGCTGAGGCTTGGGGGCGTGCGCTCGGTGCACGCGACGTCGTCCGTGCCGTACATTGCGCTCGTCCACTGCAACCTCTCGATGTTTAGCACGTCGTGGCGGACGCTCTTTCTCGATCGGACGCTCGGTCGCTCGATGAGCACGCAGCTGACGCTTCCCCAAGATAACGACGGAGACCATATCGACGAAGCACGGATGCTCATGAACATTACGTGGATGACCGACCCGATCGAGTGGCTCCTCTTGCATCTGTGGCGCTGCCCGATCGTTAACATCTACCGACACGCCACGACGCGACAAGTGCTGCACCATCCGCTCGGGAAGCTCGACCTCGAAGACGTCGATGACCACACGCTTCTGGATGCACGCTACGAGTGCATTGGCCAGCAAGACTTGAACGCACTGGCGTGGTGCGACCGAATCCAGTGCCATTAAACCACAGCACCAGTGTACCTTTGACATCGCGCGTTGGCGTTGAAACAGTGTATTGATCTTTGGTTCAAGTATCAATGTGGCAGAAACAAATGGCAAGACGCCGCATACTTTGCGCGACGCCTAAATGCGTCAACTGCTGCGTGCAACCCGCTCAACAGGGTTCAACACCTTGCAGAGTGCCACTTCTGGGAGTCAGCTTGCTGTTAGTAAATGTTTTAGAGCAACAGCAATGTGCTCGACATCGAGCCAGAGAGGAAAAGGCACATCGAGGTGGCCATGCTTACCCGACCCTTGTATCAACCCTGTATCAACCTACGATTGCTCCGTCCAGCTACGAAAAAGAACTCGAGTCCATCATTACGCCATCGGTTTACCACGCTATCGATGGCCGACATACTCGCTTGGGATTGTGGGACGTGTTTGGAGCTGGTCGTTTTGGCGACGTCTGGTATTGGCCTTGAGGCACGCGACATGCGTCGCTGACGTTGATGCTGCCGCCTCGTCTTTCGTGTTCCGCTCGAGTGGCCGCATGACCATGAGCGTCACCGTTTTCTTTGTCTTGTCGATTGGCATCGTGACTCGAAAGGGGTGTTCAGTGAGGTACGTCGCGACGGCATCGCACAAGCGTCCTGTGCGTGCAGAACCTCGGCCATCGCGGTTGCGGACGCTAAGAACGCGTTGAGCTGCGTCGCGAGGTTGCAGTCGCAGTCGACACGCCTCTCGATGAGGTCACGCGGGTGTCGCCGGTCAAAGTCTTGCCGAAGCGAGTCAATGCAGCCGGTTGCGAGGAAACGCGAGGCGTCGTTCGTCCAAAGGCATTGTTCAGGAGGCAGTCGACGACGTACGCGTCATACGTCCACGGGTGCGGCGTAAGCTGCCACATCTGGACGTACGATAGCATTCGCGTTGCATTGATCTCGACAAGCATCTCAAAATGTCCGTCGCAAGGTGTCGACAGGCGCTCAAGTCAACGACTCCGTTGTAGGACCGGTCTCGGTCCCCTCAGTAGTAGGTGCACCGGTGGGTGTCAAAATTGCAGTAGTACGCTGGCAGGGAGATCATGGCGCAGTCCAGAAGCATATCCTTGCCCGTATCGTCGACGATGCCGTGGCGAAGAGCCTCACGGATGACCGGGACAATGTGCGGCGAGAAGATGACGCGGCAGCGCTCGAGAAGCGCGAACGTCACCAGCTCGGATGCGACCCAATACTAGTACGTCGTTATCTGTCTCGGCCGCCGCCACAAGGCGACGCATGACATGCGTTGCGAGTGACGCGACATCGTCACAGTTGAAGAGCCATTCGACCGTATCAAGTGCAGTGGAATCGAGTGGGTGAGAGAGGGTATGACGTGGAGATAGGGCCTTCCAGCACGATCGTAGGATGCGGATGCACGCACAGCGGTACGTAGTTGATGTCTCTCGCGTGGATACCTCATCAAGATTGAAACGTTGGCACCCCGATGCCACTTGACCGCAGTTTCCCTGAAACTGATATGGCGTGCAGACTCAAACGATGCCACGGTTCGTCCCAAGTGCCACCTCTCTCTTCCACGCCGTGACGCTAGGCAAGCGCGGGTGCATTTGCCCGAAAGGTGCCAACCTCCCGCCGGGTAGCTACAGAGGTCCATCGGTGCCTCCGGAGCCGACGCTACCTGCCCTCACGCCGACCAAGGCGGCCAAGGCGACGAAGCAACCACCGGTGCATCGAAAAAAGCCACCGCCGTCCAGCGCTGCCTCAACATCCACATCTCCACGTCCACCGGCCACCGTCCCGCCAGTTGCTGCCGTCGTTCTAGTACCCGAGCCAGTGCTACCTGTGCTGGACCCGCGACGCAACGGCAGCATCGTCGTGCGCTACAACCACTACAAGAAGGCATTTCCGATCGCAAACGGCAGCACGACCACCGGCGAGATTGACGCGCAGTACTGTCTGCTTTCCGTGTTTCCCAAGGCCGCGCTGCACCTCAGTCGCTACGGCCCATCGGACTTTAGCTATGAAGAGAACGGCGAGAACGAGCGGCCAATGCTACGCGAAGACCCGCCCGGCGTCTACCACGATCTGCTCGATGGCGACGTCGTCTGGGTCCACGTGGAAGAAGACGCGGCCGAGCGCGCGGCCTACGAAGAGCGCCAAGACGCATATGCCAAAGCGGCAGCGACCAAGCGGGCCGAGGCGCCGCCACCGAATGGTATTCTCAAGGAGAAAACCGAGTCGTGCTCGTGCGTGGAAGGCAACCCGTGCGTCGATCGGTACTGCTGCAGAGACTGGGACCATCGACTCGAGGTTGCCAAGCGACATGGCTGGAAAGGCTTTCAGTAGCATCGATGCCAGAGGATCTCAAAAGATCTGTCGCTTCATCAATCTCAAACTACCAACCTGGACCGGTGCACCACCGTATTGTCTTTCCTAGTTAGCGCTCTCGTCCGTGAATTAGCTAGGTTCGAGGCGCCAAAGCCGTAGTATCCTGAACAGACGGTAACATGACTTGGTTATCGTCGAAGATGAGGGAAAGGGTTCACACACCGATGCAGTACTAGTACAAGATATCGGTGCTATTAGGATGGACGTCGATGGCTCAACTGCAATGCATTTTTTACCGTCCCATTGTCGAGCCGTGGTGACTTGCAATGACAAACATCCAAGCAAAGGTCATGCGTAGAGTAGTCCCGAGAAGGAAGACATAGCAATGGGTGAATAGGGTTAAAAGTATTAGTGTTAGAAACAACACACATGCGAGACGAGAAACACACACAAGCACGGGAACGTAAACAGAGAGTTGTGGTCACGGCACGAGCAATTTCCTTCGATTGCCGTCGATGCGGTTGATCCACTGGGTCTTCTCGTACTTGGAGTTGATGTAAAACGTATGGAGGGTGCCGTCATGGTAGATTTGCAGCGGCCAGCGCGTCGTCTTGAAGTGCATCATGCCAGCCGTGTCGAGCTTGGCGTTCTTGTCGCGGACGAGCTGGATCCGGCGCAGGTCAAACATCTTGTACGGCGTGAGGCCGCCGGGATGATAGAGCGACAGGTGCGTCTCGGTCAAGACACCCCACTCACAGTGATCGGCGTCCTTGCACCACGCGAGCGAGCTCTCGTACGACATGCCGCTGCGCATGTACAGCTTCCCGACGCGGTGGCGGACGGCTGCGAGCGTCTTGGAGAGCACGGACGGGCGCATAAACATCTGGCCCGCAAACGACGACATGGACGGGTTGAGGGGCACGAGGCTCAGTTCGACGCGCCCTTCGACCGTGCGCTCTGTCTGCTGCAGCGGCGCGTCGATCGGGATGCGGTACGCGCCAAACGGCACGTATGTCGAGCGAAAGTTGACGGGCTGCGCCCAGTCGTCGGCCACTGCGAGCACGGCCTGTCCGAGGAAGATCGGGTTCTGCGCCTTGGAGCCCTCGGCGGCGACCGTCACAATCACGTCATAGTTGCTCGACATGATCGGGACAAAGAAAGGCGCGTGCGAGATCTTGGCCTCGCGCGAGACCTCCGTCTTGTACGTGTACATGCGTGGTCCATACGGGCGGCGCAGCACCGTAATGAGGCAGATGAGCCCCATGCGCAGCCACTTGGCCGACGTATCGAGGCCGTGGATCTGCAGCTGCGCGGGCCGCCCAATCTGGCCTTGGAGACGCACGCGCAGCGCCTTGGCCGCATGGCCTCGCCACGCGCGCTGGATCTTGGCGGCGGCGAGCGCGTACTGGAGGCGCTTCGGGGTCGCGTCGGGGCCTGGCGCGTCGTCGGCCTGGTTGTCGCCAGCGTACTTGCGCGCCATGGTAGCTACTTGGTCCTGGGGTACTCGGCTGAGCTTCTTCTTGCTCGTCCCGAGCTTGGGGCGCAGGCGCAGCGGCGGCGTCTTGGGCACATACTCGGTGGCTCCTCCGTCGACCATCGCGCACGTTCCAATGTCAAAGGGGCTTGGAAATAGATCGAAGTTCGAAGCAAAACAAACCACAGTGTTTTTGTAAGCTAGATGGCTGTCACAGTCGGTGCAATGTGGCGAAACTTCGTCGAAGACACCATGGCAACGGGAGAGGCCAGCGGGGCAAGGTGCGTAGTAATAATTTAGAACGACAACATGTACATTTGTCACATAGTGTCATCGCTGACATACATATTAGCATGGACAGCGAGCTGGCGTTGTTTGTATTCGGGTATCGGAGGAAAGGATGTCAACGGTTTCTCCGTCTACTTGGACAGGGTATCCAAATGGTGTCGTTCGTCGTTGTTGGATTCTCCTTGCCTTGGGTGCGACGTTGGCGATTATTGCAGAGAAGCCACGCTCACCACCCTTGTATAATTCCCGAGTCTATCTCCCAGTATAGCTCCTAGTCTAGCTCCTGTTCTAACTTCTAGGAAGCAAAGAATAGAGTGGTGGATTGCCTGCATAAACAATCTCCGATTCGATGGGTGTTGACAAAGTCCTGACCTGCATAATGGTTCTGCGTGGATGCAGACTCGGCGAATCCAGATTCCCATGAGAGACGTTGTTGCTTGGGTGAAGCTGCCTGAATCCATGCACGCATGTAGTCTGTACGTGGATAACGCCGTCGACTGCAGCTGCGGCACTGCGTCGAGGTGGTCCTTACAGTGCCGCCAAGACAGGGTCGCGCCACAGTCTGTATTGACTCTGGTGTTGGCGCGTTGGGATCACTTCACTTCTGCAGCAAAGGCAGCACGCGCGTTTGTCGAGTTGCGAAGGACTGTGATGCAAAACAAAGTCCAAAAGAAATCAATAAAAACGCTTCTTTTACTAGTACGGGGACGGTCGGTGATCGTGCGCAGCCTTTGGAGGGTCACCCATAATGATACTCACCTCCGACGCCATGGCTTGCGGAGGCAGTGGGTCGTTGGACGCAGCCGAGTGGCTTCGCTCCTTCTCGGCGCGGAGCTCGTGCTCGTGCTGCAGGCGTAGAATCGCGTGTCGTCGGCTGCGCACCAACGTCGAAAAGCCAAGCCCGAGGAATGCAACGCCAAAGATGCCCACCATCGCGTACATCGGCGGGCCGTACGTCGACTCTTCGAGGTCGTACTTGGTGCACCGGGGCCCCGTCCAGACGCCCATGCACTTGCAGCGGCGGTTCACACACGAACCCGTGATACTAGCAGCCGGCGTGCAGTCGTCATCCGTGTTGCAGGTCGCGCCGCCTGCCACGATGATATACGGGTTCTTCGGGTCGGTGTAGTTGGTGATGTGCGCCTTGATAAACTCTTTGGACGGGTGCGACGCCGGGTCGCAGCCGACGCTCATCGTCTTGGTGTCTTGCCTACAGAAAATAAACGCTGTAAGATGCAGAATGCTTTGCTGGATCAACGCACCAGACGCGGATGTAGTCGACCGAGAGGAACATGGGAAACGAGTCGCAAATGTTGTTGGTCACCTTGTGCTCCCACGAACCTGGTTTAGGATGCGTCGCGTTGCCGCGGCAGCCGCCAATTTCCCAGTTGGGCGGTGTGGCACCTACACCATCGGTCTGTACGGCAGGTGGAGTACAATAAACGCACCCCAGGCCGACGCCATCGCGACGTTGAAGATAAAGTAGCTCGGCTCTTCGATCATGATCTTGGGGGGATTCTTCTCCTTCCCTGGCGGGCCCTGCGGCGGGTTGGTCAACGACGCTGACGGGATCTCAAAGATCGGCGCCCCCGCGAGGTTCCAGCGCACGTAGCCTTCGTCACCAATAACCCTACATGACGAGTTAGCACTCTCTTCCCTGCTCACGTCGCCGTCGTACCACTCGAGCTGGTACTTGTAGTACGTCGTGTATGCCTCAAAGCTGATCTGCCAGTTGGACGAGATAGCGTCCATTTGATACTCGAACGGCTCCATCATCTTGGTCGGCACCTGCCAGTCCTTGCGCGGGTTCTCGCACTTGGAGAACTGGCTGTCGCGATCGCAGAGGAAGCCGCCCTTGTAGCCGTTCGCAATCGGGAAGCACGTCCCGTTGTAGTTGATGCCCCAATGAAGAGGACCCTTGCCGTCGATGAGGCCCAGATCTGCGTGGAGGTCGCGGCCCGAGCTAATGGTCTTGACGTCCCACTGGTTGTCGATGATGGGGCCATTCTGCGCCTTGGCGACGGGCTCGTACTGCTGCTTTAGGGCTTGCACCGGTGTGCACCGTTCGTTTGCAGCATATCGCAGGCCTTGGTACCACGACTTGTGGCCGCGAGACGCAAACGCCGACGTCGGAACGTCAGCCATGTTGGCGCCTGGTGTCGTACACGTCTTTTCGTAGTAGCAAAAGAGGTGGCCCTGGCCCTTGCGACCTAAGAATCCATGTCAGCAATATGATCTTAGACGCGTATGCGTAGGCCAACGCACCTTGGGGGTCGGTGTAGTTGGTTCGTTCGTACTGCATATCCGGGAACTTCAGACGGTACTCGTCCGGCATGCCCGGCGCGATCTGGATCGACGACGAGATGTCACTGCCACCGCCTTCGAGGATGTCGATTTCGGGCGACCCACGTCCCATGTAGGGGTGCATGCCATAGCCAGGGTTCGGGTCGCACGCTGAGATGCGCTGGGACGTCCGGTACCGCTCGTCGCACTCGTTGTACGTCCAGGGCCAGACGCGGTTGGTCGACGCTGCAAAGAGCGCTCGGCCCAAATTGCCCATCATCCAAAGGCCCGGCCAGGTTGGGTAAAACCGGATTTCGGGAATCCGATCCATGGGTTTCACGGGAATGTCCTTGGTGCCGTCCCAGCGCTTGCCAGTCACGTGCGAGTTGAGCGACTCCTTATTGGTAGCACCGGGCATCTTGGCCGAGATCTCGACAAAGCCGCCTTGGACGCAAAACTTGTTCCACGTCTGCATCATCGCCGAGGCATACCACTAGACAGGAGGACGTAGACGACATTAGCGCCTCCTTGGGACTCGTGATTGGATAGAGCTACCATCTTCTTGGACGCCCACGCAGGCGCTTCCGACCAGACGTTGTAGAAGCTCACGTCAATCTCGCGCGAGTCGACGCGGATGTGGAACGAGCCGTTCTGCGTGATTGCATTCTCGGGCGTGTAGATGCCAATCGCACGGTTGACGCCATCGGGAATGTCGAGCGCTGTCCAGAGGTGGTCTTCGCCAGCAGTAAAGTTGCGGCCTTCGATATTGAACTCGTCGCTCATGACGAGGTCCCACGTCTCGCCGCGCGAGCTCGTGATCTGGTACTGGTCGGCGGGCGTGTCGACGTCGATCCAGATGCCGACGCCCGACTTGACCGGCAGCGTCGGGTCGTTCTGGTCGGCGCCGAGGACGACGACCGCGGCCGCGAGGAGCGACAGCGCAGTCGCACGGTGTGGCATGGCGATTTGCGTTCTGAGCTCAACCTGCGTAGGATCCAGCGACTGATGATGGGTATCGATACACTGGCGCGACCAATGCCGAAGTGGGATGTTCCATCTGTTTCAATCGCTCGGTAATATTCCAAACGAGCGCAAATCTTCCAAATCCACGCGCTTCCAACGCGTCAACCGAGCGCTGCTGGCGACAAGGGCATTCTCTGCAGCTCACGAACAACTCGTGATCGACCAAGAAAGAAAGCGTTGCATTGTCTCCTGGACCAGCGTCGAGGAGCGACAAGAGCGTCGACCTTGGGACCCTTCGACATTCTCCCGTCGAAGGATACATAAAACGCGCTCTTTTGGAAAATTACCGAAACGGACGCCGTGTAACGGGCAAGGTCGACGCCAATATTTTGCGAATGGCGTTCGATCACTGGAGCAGATTCGTGCACTGGACGCAGCACGGTGGCAGAGGTTCCAGAAGCAGGACCGGGATTTTGATGTTATTAGAGCCCAGTATGGCCACTCGGCGCCGCCATCTTGATGGGAGGGAGAGGATTTGCCGAACGAATAAGATGGATAAGATACGACTGCTTCGTCCTCTCTTGCGTCGCCTCGGGCACTGCTGCCAACGGAAAGCTTTGTTGCAATGGTAGCGCACCCGCGGTGCCTCAATGTACGACAATGTAGTAGCTGCTGCGCCCTTCGTCTCGCCAATTATCTGGAAACAAAGTTCGATATGCTGGACATGCCATGGAACGGCAGAGCTGAGGCAGGAGTTGAGACTTGTGCAAGCGGCCACCAAACCACATGCATCCATATCTGCCCTTATTAGTCATCCCTCGCCACATGTAGGACTAAAGACCGAGACCAACCCACCTGTTTACCTTCCTTTTGCATGACTGGGTGCATTGTTGTGTGAACGAGCCAGATTTTGGCCGAGAACAGTTTCGCGCCCCCACAATCTTGTTGTTCGCTTGCCAGACATGAAGAAAATTTCCATCAACGGGCCCGCGGAGCTGGTGGCAGCTTTGAAGCATGGGTGTGGAGTGTGCTGTGTTGGCATACTAGATATGTGGAAAGTGGTCGATACTGGTGGCAAGCACAATACTCTTAACCGCCATGGGGCGGCAGAGGTGAGCCGTCAATTCGAAGAACGTGTGGGCTTCAAACGCGAGGAATTTTTTGGCTTGAATTGCAAGACATCATATTGCAAACGACTTGTTTTTTAGCTTTATCTGCTCAGCAGTGGCTGCTCAGTCACGTCACGCTTATCCCTCCACAGGACTATCTTTATGCATGGCTATGATCCCAGCTGGTGCCAGCTGGTACGAATACGTGATGTGTTGTTTTGATGCATGCGTGATTGTTACTGCGCGACGCGAGGAATGCTTGGGAGCTTCCAGTCAAATCACATTCACTGTACAGTGGGCACCTCCGAGCCGATGACTTGACGGCGCCACAGGATTGATTAGCACTGGTGCTGCAAGCACACGGAAGCAGTGTTCAGATTCGTGCGAGTAGTGCAGGTAGTTGAGTACGACGTTTCCACACACAATTACAGCGGCGCCGCAGCCTGTGTCTGGTTCAACGTCTGGCGAATCCGGAACAATCGCGCAGACCTACTACTACCAAGTCCATGGACGATTGCCGTCAAGGCGGCGCGGGTCGCTCAACTGCACTTGCACCACAGCCTCGTTCAAGAGCCCAACACGAGTGGCCGCGACGTCACCACGTCCCGCGTGTCAAGATGCAATTGACACCCAGTCGACCACCTTTTGTCCCGTTGACGGATTCCTGCTTCACAACGCAGGAGGAGCGGGGCTCGAGCCACGTTTCTCAACCAAGCGAACACTGCGAAGAAAGCCCGACGCTATTTAGTTGAGTGAACAACAACCACAGTGGCGCTTCCAGATGTGGTCCCTTGTAGCCAACCCTGGGGCTCCCGACACACTCTAGGGGTTGCAACTGGATGAAATGTCGATCTTTTTTCAGAAACACGTTGACGGCTTGATCAAAACCATGGTGGGAACGGGGCTTTGTGGACAGGTTGTCCGAGTTTCGATACTACAACTGTCAAATTTCGTCCATCCCCTCTTCTTTCTGTGCACTGTGGGCGATGTCTTCAATCGCGCAGGCGGATTCGTTTTTCGGGTGGTTCCTACACAGTCTCCTCTCGACGTCAACCACCATCCTCTTCACAAATGAGCACTAGCACTCGTGCATGAGGCAGCTGGACTTGACGTTCTTGAGTTTTCCAGCAAGGCAAAATAGAGTCACAAAATGCTATTACACGATGGAATGGACCAATTTGATTTCCTTTGGATAGATAGGATGGTCAACAATATGCATTCAAAAAGTTCAAGTACATTCTCGGCTTATGTTACCGCGTGATCTGGACGTCGCTTTGCGGAGCATCCACGATAAAGACGTTCGAGCTGCCCTCGCTGTGCTTCTCGCGCCGCATCTCTTCCTGCTGGCGCACCAAGACGCCCTTGTTGCGGCGACGGCGAAGCGCAAGGCCAAGCGCCGACCCAACGACAGCAAAGCCGCAAAAGCCCACCACCGCATACAACGGCGGGCCGTACGTGACGGTCTCGAGGTCGTACTTGGTGCAGCGGGGGCCCGTCCAGACGCCGACACACTTGCAGCGGCGGTTCACACACGAGCCCGTGATACTGGCGGCCGTCGTGCAGTCGTCATCAGTGTTGCAGGTCGCGCCGCCCGCCACGATGATATCTGGGTTCTTCGGGTCGGTGTAGTTGGTGATGTGCGCCTTGATAAACTCCTTCGTGGGGTGCGAGGCTGGGTCGCAGCCAACGCTCATCGTCTTGGTATCTTGCCTACAGAGACACAAACGCTGTAAGATGCAGAATTCTTTGCTGGATCAACGCACCAGACGCGGATGTAGTCGACCGACATGTACATCGGAAACGAGTCGCAAATGTTGTTGGTCGCCTTGTGCTCGTAGGTACCAGGCTCAGGGTGCGTCGCGTTGCCGCGGCAGCCGCCAATCTTGACGTTGGGAGGCATAGCACCTAATGGAAGGCATATCAATGAGCGCCATGAAGGAATATCCACAAGCAGCGTACCCCACGCCGACGACATGGCCACGTTGAAGATAAAGTAGCTCGGCTCTTCGACCATGATCTTTTCGGGTTGCGCGCGCTGCCGGCTGGGCCCTGCGGCGGGTTGGTCAACGACGCGGCCGGGATCTCAAAGATCGGCGCCCCCGCAAGGTTCCAGCGCACGTAGCCTTCGTCACCAATGACCCTACACAAACAATGAGCACCCTATCTCTCCTCAGATTAGAGACATACCATTCGAGCTGGTACTTGTAAAATGTCGTGTACGCTTCGTAGCTGATCTGCCAGTTGGACGAGATAGCGTCCATTTGATACTCGAACGGATCCATCATCTTGGTCGGCAACTGCCAGTCCTTCCGGGGCTCGTCGCACTTGGGGTTTTGGCTGTCGCGGTCGCAGAGGAAGCCGCCCTTGTAGCCGTTTGCAATCGGGAAGCACGTCCCGTTGTAGTTGATGCCCCAGTGCGCGGGGCCCTTGCCGTCAATCAAGCTCAAGTCGGCGTGGAGATCACGACCCGAGCTAATGGTCTTGATGTCAAACTGGTTGTCGATGATCGGGCCGTTCTGCGCCTTGGCGACCGAGTCATACTGCTGCTTCATCGTTTCGACCGGCGTACACCGGTGGTTGGCTGCGTAGCGTAGGCCCTGGTACCACGACTTGTGGCCGCGAGCCGCAAACGCCGACGTCGGAACGTCGGCCATGTTGGCGCCGGGCGTCAAGCACGTCTTTTCATAGTAGCAGAACACGTGCCCCTGGCCCTTTCGTCCTAATACGCATCCAGCTGAGTTGCTGCTTGCAATAAGAAATACCATGTACCTTGGGCGTCCGTGTTGTTGGTCGCTTCGTACTTGAGCTGGGCCGGGAAGAGGCGGTACTCGTCCGGCATGCCCGGCGCGATCTGGATCGACGACGAGATGTCACTGCCACCGCCTTCGAGGATGTCGATTTCGGGCGACCCACGGCCCATGTAGGGGTGCATGCCGTAGCCAGGGTTCGGGTCGCACGCCGAGATGCGCTGGGACGTCCGGTACCGCTCGTCGCACTCGTTGTACGTCCAGGGCCACATGCGGTTGGTCGATGCCGCAAAGAGTGCTCGGCCCAAATTGCCCATCATCCAAAGGCCCGGCCAGGTTGGGTAAAACTTGATGTCGGGAATGCGGTCAAGGTACTTGACGGGCACGTCGCGCTGCAGCTGGTGGTCCCAGCGCTTGCCCGTCACGTGCGGGTTCATCGACTCCTTGTTGGTCGGTCCAGGCATCTTGGCCGAGATCTCGACAAAGCCACCTTGGATGCAAAACTTGTTCCACGTCTGCGTCATCGCTGCCGCGTACCACTAGATGATCATGAGCTCTATGACCATTGGTGGAATCGAATACCATCTTCTTGGACGTCCAGGACGGAACGTCGGACCAGACGTTGTAGAAGCTCACGTCAATCTCGCGCGAGTCGACGCGGATGTGGAACGAGCCGTTCTGCGTCATCGCGTTCTCGGGCGTGTAGATGCCAACGGCGCGGTTGACGCCATCGGGAATGTCGAGCGCTGTCCAGAGGTGGTCTTCGCCAGCAGTAAAGTTGCGGTCCTCAATCTCAAACTCGTCGCTCATGACGAGGTCCCACGTCTCGCCGCGCGAGCTCGTGATCTGGTACTTGTCGGCGGGCGTGTCGACGTCGATCCAGATGCCGACGCCCGACTTGGCCGGCAGCGTCGGGTCGTTCTGGTCGGCGCCGAGGACGACGACCGCCGGGAGCATCATCGCCAGGAGCGTCGACGGGCCGCGGACCATGGTACTACTGCGGGACAGGGCAGACGAATCGAAGACTGGACACCCTGTAGCACGACGACCAGAGCCAGATATTTAGTATAATTACCGATTGCTCCGACTGCATCTCCCATCTGCCGAGAGAAATTCTAGAAGCGCGGCATGGATGTCGCAGGCGACCTCGACTAATATACAATAAGAGCGATCGACTAATTAAACGCTTGCATGCCTCCTTGGGTTGTGGCGCACATGGGCGTTGAAGACGATGGCTCACGGCGATGCAAGCGCGTCGGCCTTGTGGTCTGGGGCCAGTCGTGCGAAGCGTCGTAACACTAATAGGAACCTTCGAATGCTGCGATATGTCGCGACGTGGGACCCGATCCCAGCTGTGTCGGGTGGCGCCACTGGATCATGCATGATGCGATCGACGTCCTAGTAGGACGTCGATGTGTAGGACGGTCCTACACGATGTCGCTGTGTGCAGGCAGGTGCAGCGATCCCGTCGTTGAGAGGCGTGCGCGAGAGAGATCAATGCATGCGACCGGTGGTGCTTGGTGGGGCGTGCTTGCCACCCTTGTCAAGTGATCGAAGGACGACGTTACGCAGAGCCTTCGATCGCTTGCGCCACTGCCTACCGTACGTCAAGAATTCAGGACGACGACGACAGACTGACGACGACGGCTCCCGAGCTGGGCAGCAGAATAAATGACCAGCAGCCAGACCAGCAGCAGAGCTTGGGTGATTAGAGAGGTTTGAAAGTGGCCATGTCCAGAGCCCAAAACATTGTATTGCGAGTACACTGTATTAATACTTGTGTGGAGTGCATCAATCGGTACCGAACGCGATCCGAGGGCACGAGAGCTCCGTCCGTTGCCGCCACGTGGATTGCTTGCGTCGTACGAATAAGAGGCCTTCGCCAAGGCCATGGACGACTTGTACATGGTCTGCAGCAGTGGCCCTGCAAGAAGAAGACATAGGCTCGGCGGGATTTGACTCGATTTTCGTATTCGCCAATGTCACATAGAGCCGACATGCAACGCGCAAAGTGACTTGAAATATGTATGGTCGACATCGCCCGACGACACCTGTCGACGCAGCATGGTCGCACCCGAATGGAAGCGGGCAGGAGCGAGCGCCACGACCGCAGCGGCAGTCGGTGCTAATGACGCGGAAACGTCAGCGACGACCACAGGCAAGGCGAGAGCAGCGCCCGAGAGCGGTGGCCCAGCAAAGAAGCCGCGCAAGGCGAATACGGTGACGACCTCCACGCCTGAGCGAAGAAGGACAAAGACGTCCACGCACCAAGCGCCCGGCAAACGCTGCGCAGTGCAAGAGCAGTTTACTGTGGGTCCCGCGATAGTGTGCCCAGCGTCGCGCACGGCCGTGTCGGCGGCAGCCGCCCCAGCTACGATCCAAGTATCCTGCGAATATCACCCGGCATTTTGTCCACGCCTCTCTCTCGCTCTAGGAGGATGCGTCGGCCGAGACGGACATTGGCGGCCGTGAAGAGAAGACGATCAAGCGCTACAACGCACTGAACAAGCGCCTCCTCGCATGGCTCCAAGAGCGTCATGCAGCGCTCGTGCACAACAACAGCGTCGTGTTGCCACTCCCAGCATGCGTCGCCACCAGCTACTTGGACTTCATCTCCATCAAGTGCGACAAGCGCGGGACGCCGCTTGAGCCCCGCCAAACAACATCAGCCTCGCACGTGGGCAATGCGTCCAGTGCCCTCGTCTACCTCCACAAGGACGCCAAGGTCGAGATGCCGCCAGAGCTTTGCGCCGCCCTCAAAGGTACGACACTTACGATCGGAAGCGTCGAGAAGGCAAGCAACGACCATCGGCATAGCGTTTACCAAAAAGTACACTTCACGCACCAACCGAGAAGAAGGCACCGTGGTCACGCCAGAGGAGCAAGGTGGATTGATGCCGCTGGAGCAAAACGAAACTACGAGTATTAAAGCACCGACTGTGCTGTTAGGGTCCTTGTTGAACGGTGTGCAGCAATCCGCCCAAGCGACGACGAAGACGCACGACCACACGACGGCGCGCTGCCCTCTCACGATGGCTGCCGAGAGCGGCTCCGATCCAGATCTTGCCACGTCAGAGCCAAGTGTGCCGACGTTTTCGTGGGACGGGCGGTCCCACCCGGTGCCAGCCGATTTTGTGCTGCCACCATGCACGGTACACCGCCTTTGGTGCATGTGGTATGAAGGGATTCCAGCGAGTGGCATCGGCCCCTTGCGGAAGCTGCGCTCGTTCGACCTGACGAAACTTAGCGACCGGAGCAAGCTCTCAAAAGCTCGCAAGGTGATCGAAACGGTGGTGTTGGCGGCAGGGCATTCGCACGAAACCAGCGTCGCGTCCATGGCACCAAAAGCGCGCGCGTCGGTCTTCAAGCTCGGATTTCGGCGAACGGCCACAAAGCTCAAGAGGCGACTCGTGTCCCGCTTTGAATGGGGCGCCCGCCGCGTCAATGAGATGCGCTACATTACGTTTTACGACCTTGTGTTGAAGAGCAAGTCCGCACCGTGATGTTTTTTCATGACTCTAGACTAATCTCAGAGGTACTATAACTAGTAGAAGCTCGAGTAGAGGTACAGTACAGGCGTGAGCGTACACTGCGATCTGGTGCAACGCAAGTCGACTGCGGGTCCCTCGATCGATCGCCCTCGTTAGGTCAGGGACGGGTCAGGGAGGTCGTCGTCGGATGAAACAGAAGCCCAAATGGTCTAGCGTGCGAACCATTATCGCATCGACAACCAACACCACCATGTGGTCGTCAATGATGCGGTGAAAAATACAGCGGTTGCCAGCAGATAAGACACATAAAAGGAGCGCCCTCCCCCCGGTCCGTCAGTCCATCTCTTTACGAAGAACATCGACTCGATCGACAAGCAATTCATCGGACCACGTCGTTCCAAGCATACAAGAAGGGGCGTCGGGGTGATTTTTTATTATTTCAAATTCATTGTAAGTAGGTAGTCAATAAATAGAGTCGCTGATACTCCTGCGCTCGGATCTACGCGACCTTGATCATTTCCGTCTTTTCGGACTGGAGCTGGCGCCGGTGGCGCCGGTGCGCCTGCTGCGTCAAGTGCGTCAAGTAGAGTTGAATGGCGTTCTCGTCCAAAAGTCGACCGCGCGTGAGTTTGAAGATGCGGAATTCCATCTTGAGCGCGACCTTGGCGAGCTTGTTCGCAATTGTCGTGTGCGGGACACGGTGCTTGGACGCGCTGTCGTTCAAGAGCCGTGCAATCACAAAGGCATGGTACTTGCGGACCGCCGTCATGGAATCCCGGGGGCTCGCTTGCGACTTGGGCATGGTGGTGGTGGTGGTGGTGGGGTGGGGTGTGGTGGGGTTGCGAGAAGTTCACAAATGAAGAGGGATCGCGACTTGGCGTAAGAGCGTGCGTGTCCCTGGCGGACGGTTTAAAAAAGCTAGGAAGCGTGAGCAACTTTTGAATTCGCGTTTGGTCTGTGCCAGAGACAAGATCCCAGCCACACATTTGTGTGATAAAACCCACTCCGTGCTTGCGACGCTGCTATGAATTGCCGTACATCAGCCTAGTGGCTCGGATACAGGGCGTACGATTGGCTAATGCCGCCGCATAAACAAGCTACTCTTTCAAAAAGTACTTGTTTGTGCGAATGCCAGCAGCTGGTTGCACCGGATGTTGGCACCTGGGGCCGCCCAGCCATTCATGAAGACCTGGCACATTGCCGCTGCAACGATAGCGCGGGTTCTATAAAATATCGAACATGCCCTTGGCCCTTTGCGCGAGGCGAGCCGACGATCACATATAGACACGCGGGTGATGGTGGAGCGACGGGTTTTCTCACACAAATTACAATGTACTACGAGAGGAGCACGACTATGTTCCTACTAGCGGCTCTGCTCGTTGCGTCCGCGGTCGGGAGGAGAAGCTAGAAGTCTGTTTACATCAACCGTGGCGACTTGAGCTCAGAAATACGACCTCACGCCATAGACGCGACGAGCCTTCGCGTGCTCTACCGCAATAAGAATTCCTTTGCTGTGAACGCCATTCCCATGGCTCGCAACGCGCGTGGGTCATGAGAAGCAACGTAGCGGCGCCCCCGATGTGCAGGCGTGAAGGCGCGTGACCTGTGTTTGTGAGCCAGGGCGAAAAGATACTTCAGGAACTGCTGCAGTCAGTAGTAGCTGTCAAGAACACGCAATCACAGAAACGTGGCTGGGTGCGAACGATACTATCTCACACGATGCATGGGCACCGACGCAGAACCGCCAAGGGGCGTGGCGATCGGGGGCAGTCGATGGTTCTGGTGTCGGCTCCTGCACGTCCCAACTCGCCTCTGCACCACCAGGCAGTGAGTAGCGCGCCGAAGCCGCGATTTGTAGTGTGAGTCACAGGCTGCGTCGTGGGGTCGGGCGGCACGTTACAAGAGTGCATCGGCCACCCCATGTAGAAGAGATGGTGGCAGAGATGACTCAATCAGCACTTGATTGCAAGTGGCTACGCCTTTTCTTCTACGAGCTTCCTCTGGCGCCGCGTTAGCCGGTCCGTATTCAGCGCCTGGCGCTGGTCCATTTCAGTCAAGAGACGCTTGCGCTCCATTTCTTTGGCGGCGGCGGCATCCGCCTTGTGCCGTCGGCGTTCTAGACGCAGTTCAATTCCCGCTGACTAATAATAATCCATGCGTGCGTCGAATACCTTCCTCAGCCGCTTCTTTCGCGAGGCGTGCTTCGCGCTCTTGCTGCTCTTCTTCAAACTTCTCCATCGTGAGCACTTGGATGCGCGCCGAGCGTTTGCGGGGCATGGCTTCGAGAATCGCCTATGCGCCAGAGGATTATTCACCCATCGCAATCCAAGTGCAGGGAGCGAGCGTACACGCTTGAGTGCCTTCTCTTCCTCACGCTTCATGTCGGCGGCGTCGTTGTGCATCATCTCAAGCATCGCTTCCATATGGTCGATGAGCTCGGTCTCGCCAGCGACATGGCGGCCGCGCTTCGTAGCCAGCAACAGCGCGTCGTGCAGCGCCGTGACAGAGTCCAGCCCCTTGGCCCAGAGCTCCCACGACGCATCGGCGTCCGGCGAGAGTCGGTACACGCGGCGCTCGTGGTAAAACTGCGCATAGTAAAAGTACCGGTTCCCGACCCGGTCCGTGCCAATGGGCTGCACCCGCAAGTCGTCGTCCTCCATTTCGCGAATGTACTCCCTAAGGCAATATGATGATGTGAGGTCGAGGTGGATGGTGCTGCATGCGGCCGCACAAGTTGGACGGGTGGCTCACGGTCGACTCGCACAAGTCGAGGAGGACCAAGCAGCGCGTGCGTGGGTCGAGAGCCTTGAAGTCGTGCGTCTACAGCTCGAGATAAGGCCGAGAATGTGACAAGAGAGAACGAACCTCAAGCGGGTTTTTGTCGCCGAGCAGCGCCAAGCTCGCGCCAAGACGGTCCAGAAGCGCCCACTCGTCGTCCGACAAATCCTTGAGTCGACACGACGGCTTGGGCGTCTCGTCGGCGGACTCGTCGCCCGTGTTGCTATTGTTTTCGTCGTCGTCGTTGTCGTCCTCGTCGTCGACTGACTCGTCCGACCCGGACGTGGCGTTAGCTCGTCGCTTGAGGCTGGCCAGCTTTTGGTACCGGCCCGCATAATGCTCCTTCAGTCGCTTGTTCCACCAGTCGTACGTGAGTCCAGCCCCTTGCGCCAGCCGGTCGCGTTCCTTCTTGGCGAGCAGCAGCTTTGTAAAGACCTCTTCAAGCACGACGCTCGTTTCGGGGTTGAGGAGCGCCGCTTCGTACTCGCGCAGCGTGCCGTAAATCTTCAAGTTGAGTGGTCGCTGGAGAAGCCAGAGAATGTGGCACGCGGCCGGAAGCTGCCACATGGATCGCAACGTCGCAAGCTCGTCGAAGTCGATGTCGGTGCCATGCCACTCGGCGCCGTCTTCCAAATAGAACGGGCTGCCCAGGAGCTTCTTGAACTCGGTGATATCGAGACCCTTTCTCGGCGTTGGTTCCTTCTTGGCGCTGGTTTTTGCCTTCTTGGCTGGCTTGACCTCAGCATCGTCCTCCTGCTTCTTCGCCTTGCTCGTCGCCTTGGCCTTAGCAGGCGCAGGCTTCTTCGCCACCGGCTTCGTCTGCCGCTTCTTCGGCTCATAGTCCTCCACCTGGAAGATCGTCGGCTTCACGCGCTTGCGCTTCTCCCAGACCATCAAGCCCTGCGCATCCCCAGGTTCACCCATTTCCACGATGGCCCGTTCCACAAATGCACAAAACGGCTTGCGGCTAAAGCGGACTTAGTCGAATTTCGAACACACAGGTCCCGTAGGATAAGAACACGCCATTTAGTAGCCCGCTCGCCCATGAGCAGCACATTATTGTCATCAATATGGCGTCAGCGCACCAGCATTAAACAGTGATCCAAGGACATGCTGGCAGGCTCGACACTGCGAGCTAGAATATACTTCATCGCGCTGCAAACCACTTTAAAATGCTGCGCTGCAAGCTCACATCGGACCACTCTCAGACCATAAGAACCACCGCGCAACCATCACTCACGCGGGCGGCGTTGGTCACTACACATATCAAGTTGGTCGTGTCGACTGGGCTGCGCAGGAGAGCCACGGCGATCATCGCTCGTAGTACGTCGTTGCATTGAGATGCAGGACGAAGACAAGTGGTGTTCGTCTAGTCGGTGCTCCCAAATGCTCGATCAAGTGCGCTTTTGAACTCCCGCCATCCGGAAATGAAACCGGACAGGCATATCCGGTCGGCGGCCGCATTATCCGGTGGCCGGCTGCTGCTTTCGTCGTCCATAACCAATCACTCCCGCATCTCGCCAGCATGTCGACGATCCCCAGCTTCTCCAACTTCAGTACGTGCATGCAGGCGTCGCGAGCATGGGGCTAGCAGCATGTGCCAAGTCCCTTCGCCGGCCGTGGCCATCCAATGGTGCTAACGCGGCTTGGTTTAGACGCCTTCGAAGACGCCGCCGACAGCTCCGGCGTCGGCTCGGGCAAGGTCCACGTCCGCGTCCAGCAGCGTAACGGCCGCAAGTGTATCTCGACGGTGCAGGGTCTCGCGGATGACTTGGACATCAAGCGCATCTTGAAGGCCTTCAAGAAGAACTTTAGCTGCAACGGCGCCATTGTCAAGGACGAAGAGCTCGGCGAAATCATCCAGCTCTCGGGTGACCAGCGCTCGAACGTCAAGAGCTTCCTCGTGGACCAGGAGATCTGCCTCGAGAGCCAAATCCAGTTGCACGGTTTCTAAGCTTGCCTCCCATTTCCCTTGTCGTGTCTCTTGGGGCCCGGCCACTTTTGAGGCGGCTTGCGGTCACCGCGCGTCAGATTGTGGGACGCCTTTGCTGCCACCTCGGATAATATACTATTTGATTATGTCCTTGCGGTGCTTCTCATGCAGTCGAAGACGCTCCTACAAAGGCAGATCATCATGACTCTTGATCGAGCGTTGAGGCGGCCTATACCGTTAGCGCGGTGTCTCCATGGCCCGTGCATCCTCGCCTCATGAGGCATCGAGGTTGCCAATACTG